AACTAAGTTCCAAGTAGAACAGTTTCTAATCACACAAAAGCATTAGGGTTCCAGATCGAAGCAATTCGGATTGCAGGAGGATTTTCTGAAGTCCCAGGAGCAACATAAGCTTCAGCCATAAAAGGCACATAACATCTGTCTTGAATGTACTGATATCCTTCTTCATAGGTTAGACTGAAAAGTTCCTCGGGTGACACCCAAACCAAGCCCAACACAGCTTCATGATCAAACACAACATCTACATATTCTCCCTCACACTCACATGTTGCTTGTAATTCATATCGTACCCTGAATTAAACAATAAAAGGAACGTTTTGATCTTCCTGAAATGCAATGGACAACAGATTATTAGCAAAACATAAAATTGAATCATACCTTGGAAAACCTGAACATGATTTAAAGACTTCTGGACCGTATGTAAATCTTGTCATTTCCAGTATACAATGAAAGAGAGCCTGAAGGAAGGAATTTGTGTTATAATAGGTAAAAGATATGACTATATATTTGGGATATGTGTTATCCAATACAATCAAAACAACAAAAAGCATACATATACCTGATAGGTCTGTGCATGGAACATTATATCATCCTTTAGCTGCTTTAGGGTTCTTTTGGGAGGAAGAAGACCCCGAAGATAACCAATAGAGCAGCGAGAAGTACTATTGATATAAGTCACTGGCATTCGATCACCTATGAACCTAAACAACAAAAAGAATGTACGTATTGTTTTTCTAGCATCCAACAGAGCAGGTCTGTCAATATATAAACATAGAATTCGAATATAATAATACTTATTTATGATCTTCTCATAATGGTGATTATAAGAACCAATGATCAGACGAGTTCCAGGTGAAGATTGAAATACATATGCATCTCCAGTGGCATCTGTAATTGGCAGCCTTGTAACAGCAGTAACTGTGGTAATGAGAGGAAGCCGAGCTTCAGATTCCCCTGCCAACTCCAAATACTTTGTAACTTCAGTTCCAGAGCAGTACACTGTCGCCCTGTCCCCTCTATACAAAATAGCAAACGATCAGTTAATCCCACATGAAGTCTAACAAACAAAAATCAGCACAAGAATATGCAAGAAACCTGATGTCTTCTATGATGAGCTCAAAACTAAGAACACCATTAATTGGAAATCCTGGAATCGTCAGATGAACAACGCAACCTATAACATCTGCAATTCAATTCATAGTAAGCAAATAATCATGAATACTTTTTGTGCAAACAACTTTCGAGGAAGATACCTCCATAATTCACAACTGCCTCTGTCTCTATTGGAATAGCCGAGAACGAAGTTTTCAGAAAAGCATTGACAGGAAACTTGGGATAACCCGGATTGTCAGGCACACAAAATATGATATGTTCACGCCTTAAGGCAAGGCGAACTTCAGCTGGAACAACACGCCTGTTTTTCCTCGCAGGAATAACATGAAAGCCATCCAGGACATGTAAATCTCCTACTTTCAACTTATGTTGCATTTCTTGAATGTCATTTTCCTCAATACAGGCCTCTATCATATGTTCCTGTTAAATGTGATTTAGTGCATTACTACAATAAAATCAAACATAAACAATAAATATTACATTACAGAGAGGAATGACAGACCTCTTTGTCAAGACACAGCACATGCATTGTTCTTTTATGTTCCTGAGAGTCATCACCATGCTCAATCCATACATTAAGAACTCGAATGATCATAATATCAGTATAAGCACCCACACGTAGACCACGAAACACCATGCATGTGGAAATTGGGTCTGTGGCAAACGAAAAACAAAGAAAAACCCCAAAACTTCACACCTCGGCAGTGTTTATTCATAAACCAATAAATAGAAACTTGAAACAGAAAGCAACGGAGCCGATACCTCGTGGAAGAGTTGGAAGCTTGAAATCACGCGGCATTATACAACGATGCCTGATATGGAAAGACAACGGAAGATCAAAAATTTGTTAAAGTGTCAAGAAACAGAAACAGAATGCAAAAGGGAAAACTATCGGCGAGCATACCCCATGAATACACGACTATCCCTGATCCGGAAGTCGCGAAGCACTGTAGTTCGTGGGAGAAGAAGTTCAGAGAACAGGGGAAGTTAAAAAGCAGAATCAGAAGCGAAATGAAGAAGCGGTGGAAGTTGGTCCCTAAAACGTTTTCGCACCACCATTATTATAAAATTATAAATATAATATTCAATGGGCTATCAATTGTTCCCCTAATGGACCGAACAATTATAGAATGGGCTTCCCAAAAGCTATAGAAACTTAATATAAGCACAAAGGCATCTCCTATTTGGGCTAAATATGAGAATACTGGGCCCAATTCATATATCTGCTTACATATCGTAAAAGAGGGCCCGTTATTTATATTTATCTATACGCGCCCGGGCTTGAAGCAAATTGAGAGAACACAAATGTTTCATTCGATAACACTTTAATCATGTAACCGCAATTTGTTATTGTTTATTCATTTTTAACATTGTCAATGGTCCAGGTGATACCACACAATTAAACTAAAGTTTACTCTTGCTGTACTCGGTTCCTCGTTTATGGCTATGTTCCTCAAATTTGGTGCTGTTAGGGTCAGTTTGTTCTGATATTTAGATGACTATCCACATACATCTATATTAGGCAACAGATTGGAACATGTCAAATTCCAAATTAAAGCAATGACTTCCACCTGCAATTTCTTGTTAAAATAAACAGCCACCATCAACTGGTTGCTCCTCTTTTCTTGGCTACATTCTAAAACCGTTGTAACCCATAATCGGATAGAAACCTTGGTCATTGATCCATGAACAACACTAGAAAAACTCAACACGCAAGCTACTCAACAGTGCACCTCTTGTACCTGCAAAAGCTGAATATCAAACAAAAGATAATTGACATGAGAGAGAGAGATGTGCACCAAGGCAATCAACGTTACATTCGACATCATAAAAATACATAAACAACACCATTACACTACGTACACTAACTATACATAGATCTTTTGTTCCTTCTCACAAAAACCTAGCTACTTTCTTTGTACAAAAGAGGTTCATTAGATACACTAACACTTCCTAGCTCTGACTGTTCCTCCGCCCTCCAAATGTAACCATCTCCCCTATCGTTAAAAGCACCCCATCTGGAAACATAGAAGGGCCAAAGTGAAATTCTCTATACATACATTTATTCAAAATAGTAGGAATTGCAAAGGCAACACCTGTTCTGCCACCATGCAATAATTCATGGGTCACCATTCAAATACACATTACAGAGAAGAATGCCAACAAATAGTAAGAGTGGATTCTAATCCTACTAAAGAATGTAATCACTCGTGGGCTCCAAACGCACCCAAAAAATTAGCAAGAACCATTTCCACTCAAAGAATTTGAAAGCATAACATTGAGAAAAGCACGATAGGAACTGGAGCCACTTCTCTACTCTGAGTTCTCTCTCGTCTCGAGACCACCACCAACAACTGACCTTCCATTTCTTTCTCAAGGAGAGTCGAGCCAAATCCCTTTCTCCTCTGAGTCCTCTCTCGTCTCGAGACCACCACCAAGAACTGACCTTCCATTTCTTTCTCAAGGAGGGTCTAGTCAGATCCCTGTCTCGTATCAGAATCCCAAAGAGAGAAGAAGGCATGCGAGAAAATACAGCCAGAAAAAAAGGAGGAAAGGATCGAACCTCCGCGGGCAACGTGCTCAACTTCGCAAAGCACCACGCAGAAAATCCGGCCCAAACTCAAAAAAACCGTAGAAACCCACAAAGGTGGTAACGTAACAACAATGATCACAATTCACAACAAACCTAAAACGCAAAAGAAGAAAAAAAATAGAGGGAAAGACAGGGAGTGGACGCGACCTTTAGCATAAGACTTCATGAAAACTTGCCGATCTGTACAGTCAGTATCCTATACTGGCCAGAAGTAGGCGCAAACAGACGATGCATTCTTCATCCTCACTGGTGCAGGGAAACAGCAGATGGCGGGCTCCTCAATCCTCATCCAATCAACCCCTTCATCCTCATCGAAATGACAAAAAACCTATCAGATCCACACAACTCATAAAACAATCCTCGATTTAAGATTCCGGAAATCACCAACAATCCCTCAAACAAAAAGATGGAAGAAAGATGTGATTATATATCGATAAATCGGAGATTCCTGACGACAGATCAAATCCCTTGATTAATGAGCATCTTAACTTTGATGATGATCAACAAAGGTTACTGGCAAATACTATGGTCAGCAAACTGAACACAAAACAACCTTTCAACCACCTGCAATTACAAACATAAGCACAGGATCCAAACGATTAAGAGACTTGCAAAAAGAGAAAAGCAAACTCAACATAGAGAGACGGATAAATCACCTGGGACGAATACAAAACCTGCGAAACTGGATCTTCTCCAGACCTCTGAACTGTCCTACAGTGGGTCTGGATCTCCTCCAGATCTCTCAAACCTTCTTCTTCGTGGCTTTCAACTCCGCCCTTCTCCCAAGAAGAGAGATGAAAATTCCAAACGCAGAGAGGACACCGAGGGAGAGAGAGAGAGAGAGAGAGAGAGCAGCCGGAGAGGTGAATAACAAAAGGCGAGAGAGTAACATGCCAAAGAGAAGCAAAGTTTTCTTTAAGCACCAAGCTGAAGAAAAAGAAAAGAATCAGATCCTCTCAATTAATTAATGCCTTAGCCTGCACAAAACAGTAATAGCCTCTCTCAGCGTCGAACAACGCAAGGACTTTCCAAGGCCTCCCAGAGACAACAAAACCCGGTCTTTTCATATAGTAGAGAAAAAGCATGTCAAGGTATCTCTCTGTATCCAGGAAACCCTTTTCTGTTTCTCGAACGACCCACCTCTCCACTGTCCAGGCATGTCACTCTCATCCACACATTCACAAACCCGCCAAACCTCCCCAGCAGAACACCCAAAGCAACTGAATAAGCCTCGGTCCACGCACCCGCCTGGGCCAAAGCAGCATATAGATCTCTGATGACGAACGCGCGTCATAGCCATCAAACGACCCCAATGCAGAGATACTGAGCAACACAACTCCTTTCAATCAACTTTTCAGTCCCTCTCATGGCCCACCATCTCTGAGCTATCCCATCTCTCAGAACAGTCTCTCCCAAACCCGCCAGATCTCCCACCACTGAACGATCCCTACCCAGCAGAACACCCAGAGAGTAACCGAAAACCCTCGATCCGCGTGCCCGCTCGGACCAAAGTCAAATATCGATCTCTGATGACCAACGCGCGATGGGGCCACCAAACGACCGCAACTAAGGCCAACCAGAAGCCAACGACCAGTCCCACACCGACCGAGATCCCAGAGCCCGTCAAATCCCACGCCAGATCCCAATGAGGCCTCACCCAACTCCAGCCCACACCGAAGGACACGCCAGTTTGAAACAGTAAATCTCAGTCACGTTGTGCAGTAAAAGGTGTCTGTGTGTACAGTACACGGGCATATGCGGCGGGATTCTTTCTTTCAATTTAACTTGCATGTGACTACTAGAGAAAAAAAGGAATCAATTACTTTTTTTTTGTCCTTTACCTGGTTGCTTTCCGTTTTCAAGGCGGACAATAAATCGGGAGTTTAAAATAATAAATGTTCATTTGAATGGCGTGCAATGCACGCGGTCTATAAGGATCGGAAAAGGCGCCAGTCATATTTTCATAATGACCATCATGTCCTTTTTTAATTTTACACGGGTCAACTTAATTTATTAAAAAGGAAGCACAACCTTGAGTTTCTATTGGCTCGATTCTTATGTTGTTACCATAACAACAAATAGGGTGTTGTTACCATAGCTGGTCCCTCACATTAGTATGAGAAAGTAGTATGATTAAACATAATGCCAATTTATTTAATTGATCAATTAAAGTTGGATGATGAAACTACTATCACTCATTAGTTTTCCACCAAAAAAAAAAATCCTTCCGAATAACTGATAATCTGGCAAGTGGAAGTGGGCCTGGCACTGGCAGGCTTAGTCGACTTAGATCTTAGATCCATCCGAACAACGTGCGACCGGGACCAGGATCCCGATTCCGATCCCCGGTGGGCCATTTCGCAGTCCAGAGTCTGCTGCCGTTGTCACCAACTCACCATCGCCGCAGTCGCAAACTCCAAAAGTTTCCCCACCGCGCAACTCAACTTTACTTGCTTACTCGGCACTCGTCAAATTCCACTCCTCAGTCGTCGTCACCTCCCTTCCCTTCTCCTTAAACTACATCGAAAAAGGCTCTTCGCCTTTCCACCCAACAAATATCCTTTCAGTCCCAGAAAGATCCATTCGTCCATTTCTCTCAGTACTTTCATCGAACACTAAACGAGCATATACCTGGACATTGGCAGAGTCCCTTCATCTCTACTGCAAAATGCTCCTCGCTCAGCTGCAGTGCCACCAGCCGCCATGGATACACTCTCTTCATCCCGGCCAATTGTCGAATCGTTCTTCTTCTTCTTCTTCTTCCCCCGATTCTCGTTCCCGCTCGTTTGTCAAGAGGTGGCTCTTCCTCATCCTCTTTTCACCAATGCCATTCTGCGTTGACGAGTTTGAATTGGTGATTCATAATTGATTAATGATTCAGCTTCTGTCGTATTGCAATCTGTTTCTTGGATGGCAATTTTATTCTATGCTTGGTTTGGTAGCATCGTTAGTAAAGAACTGCGCCGCCAGGTCAACTTAGCGTCGAATTGTTTGTGATGTGAAACAGCGACTTGATGAACAAGAAACCGGCGTCGAAGCAGTTCCTGTGGATCCGAACCTCAGCTTTTGGTCCGAATTATCGCAGGATATGCAGCAGCGGTGGTGAGTGAGACTGAGACTCTTGGAACCATTCACAACTCCTCTGTAAAACTTGATGAAGTGAATTTAGATTTCCATGGATGCCCTGCCACCTTGGGTGGTTATCCGGGCATGGTCTTTGTAGGACTTAGAAGTGAGAGCTGGTATTCTGGAATCAAAATCGTGCGCTTTTCACCAGTTTCTCTATGACGAGTGCAGTCAGTCATCTTGCGAGTAGCGTGCGGTGCTATAATTTAATGTTTTTTAGTATTACTTCCTGTTGTCAGTTGTTTCTATACAACATCTCCGTTAGTCTATTTACATTCCGTGGAGTATACACGTTTAAACATCAGTCACGTAGGTTTATGGAGTCAGGTTGTTCATTGAAGATCGCTGTTTCATTGATTCATCAATTGCCAGTTGTTTTCTATTTGGTCTATTATCTTGTGCGGCAAGCCACATCTCTTGAGCTCTTTAGTGGTGTCTTGAGAACATGCATCAGCTGAACATTAATTCCATTTTTGTAGGGAACCAGGAACCCAGCGTGCAAAGGACAGGGGGCAAGTGGGACTACGTGGTAGATACTTCTGTGTCAGGTGTCTCAAGAACATGGGTTCTTAAGATGAAGCAAATTGGCATTCCACAGGTATCCCTGGAGGCTGGAAGAAACCTGACTGTAAAATATGAACATAAAGATGACTGGGCAAAAGTTTGCTTGATGCTTGACCTTCTAGCCAGTGGCATATGCTATAACATGATATCTTCTTTTATTTTCCTGATCTGTAGTTTATCTACTGAGGTTATGTGCAGGACTTCTTGAAGAAGCTCCTGGTTGGGTCTGCTTCATTATGTTTCATGTTAAACCTCAGACAGTTGAAATTATTCAGTCTGCTAACAAAGATGATCCACAACTCGGTTCCTCCTTTCCTTTGGAAACTTGGAAGAGCAAGCTTACCTTTTGCTTGCATGTCTAATTCCTTGAACAAACCGACGCCTTTGGGGTTGGATGTGTCATTGCCATCATTTCAAGATGTTAAGTGGAGCCTATCGCGCTTAATATATTTGTTCAACATCAAGCTGGAAAGAAACATAGCAACGTAAGTAGAAAAGTGATCTGCGAAGATTTTATCAAGAAATCCTGGTTCATTGTATATGTGCAAAGTTCAATAAAGTTCCCTTCTTCACTCCTCTCAGGAAAAGACCAAATCCTTCTTTGCCTGCAAATTGTCCTCCCTCTTCCTCGAGGGAAGTTTTCAACTTCAATTCATTCATGACTTTCATTCTCTTGTAGGTTCCTAGTATCTTTGCTTGCTGCTTGTTTCTCGTTCGTCATTATTGGGGGCCTACTCTTCTACAGGTTCAGGTATGTTTTCAACCCTTCCTCTCAGGAACACCAATGTTAATACAATTTTATTCTTCTTTGTCGCCCATAATAAAATCGATTATTGTCTGCATGTGACAGGGATATGCCCTTTTTATCTGACAGTGGTAATCTTGTTCTTAGTTCTTATTTGCATGGGTCACTTCCTTTTGGGGAAAGAAAAAGTTGAAAGACAAACCTTTGATGTCCAAGGAAACAAGAATCACCATCTATCCATTTTCTTCTGCTCATATCCTCGATTCTCCATGTTCACTAATCCAGGGGTAACAAGCAGTCTCTGGAAGACTGCTTCTGGGAAGCTTGGGCCTGTCTTTGTTCATCATCCACGCATTTACGAGTGAGATGACTTCTGATGAATTCCTGTGTTTCTTTCGGATTTCAGATTCTGTAATGGGTTCCATCTTTTTCTGTAGCAAAAGACACGTGTTGAACGTGTCATCGGCTTTGTGCTTGCAGTATGGGGGATATTGTTCTACTCTAGGTTGTTGAGCACAATGACAGAAGAATTCAGAGTAAACTCTTGAAACTACTTGCTAAATCTTGCCTAGATGGAAGTATTATCCCGAAGACTAAAACTTGAACAGAATAACATGCAAAGACTCAGGGAAGGAGCACAAGTTCAAGTCTTGGAGGAGGATCATATCATTATCTGTGGGATTAATAACCACCTCGCTTTTATACTAAAACAGCTAAACAAGTATCATGAATTTGCTGTCCGCTTAGGTACTGCCACTGCAAGGTAATTGGTTTTATCATACTGCAAGGAGAACCCTCAACCTATTGCAGGTTGACATCCCTTTGGAATCTTCTCCTTATCTGCGTTTGCAAATATATTGCAGGAGGCAGAGGATTCTTCTCATGTCTGATGCTCCAAGGAAGCAAATGGACCGGCTAGCTGACAGTATTGCAAAAGATCTTAATCATATTGATATCCTCACTAAAAGGTATGTAGATGCAAATGAATTTTTCATATGAAATTACTGATATGAATCTCAAGCTTTTCACATAATTGATCTAGTGTTCGTTTACTAATGGAGAACAACCGAGTTATCCAAAGGTTCGCCATCTTAGTAAGGTGTTGTAAGATGTAATCTGGAGACAGAACAGGATGTGATATTTCTTTTGCATTAAGAGGGGTCCATTTCGATTGAGTAGGACATATGCAGACCAAAATAAAATTTTCAGCATGCATCGACATTTACCATGAACTGATGTGCCTTCACCTGAAATGCAAGAGGCACAACTTCATATTCTAAAGTTTGAATAATGATTAGCTCGATTTAGACAGCCATTCCATTCTCTTTCTTTGGAAATCATTATTGTTTTGGGAATTGGAACTTTGTCGTATTTAGTTCATAACATCGGTACCAATTGCTGCAAGTTTAAACTACTAGCTCCAATCAGTAGTAACTTGATATACCAATCTGCAGGAACATTTTACTTCCACCGCTTACAGATTTTGAACTTTTATATGTATCAGTTGCAGCCTTAGCCTCACAACATCATTTGAAAAGTGTGCAGCTAGTAAGGCCCGTGCCATAATCATACTTCCACCAAAAGGTGATAGGTAAGAATTTTCAACGAACTTTTTCTCTACAGAATCTTCTTTGAACTAGATAGCTGTTATTCATGAACTGATGTCATGTCTTTGATTTATCAGGTATGAGGTTGATACCAATGCATTCCTGTCCGTGCTAGCCCTTCAGCCTATTGAGAATATGGAATCGATCCCCACTGTGGTTGAGGTATGCTAACTGGGGGATACTTCTGAGTGAAGATTACTGGCCAGACTGCAGACTGTTGTAAAATTGGTCTTGGCTTTGGAATGCAGGTTTCAAACTCAACTACTTGTGAACTCCTGAAGTCAATTTGTGGGCTGAAAGTAGAGCCAGTCGAAAATGTGGCATCGAAACTGTTCGTTCAATGCTCTAGGCAGAAGGGGCTCATAAAAATCTACAGACACCTGCTCAATTACCGAAGTATGAGAGGACCTTTTCTTAAGAAACAGTCATTAACATGATCATTGAGACACAAGTCTCACCTGGTTTTATTTTTCTTGCATTTATATTCATATCTTTTGTACATTTCTGCCTGTCGAAAGCACTAGATGTCAAGCGAAAATGTTCCTAAAAAAGATTAACAAGATTATCAGATATATGTACCTTAGGCTTAGTAAAAATCAACGTATGCAGTACCTAGTTAAAGTTTAAGGTTCACGCCTAAATGGGCTGTTAGAAATTTGATAGAAAACCCAGTACTTACTTGATCTAACTTAGCAATATGTAAGCAGCTACTGGTGCATACAAGTTGCTTTTGCTTATTACTGAGCAATTCACTGAATGTCACTTGATACCTAAGAAAATACAGTAGTACTTACTTTCTCTGCAAATGGAAAACTCTTACCTTCTTTTTCAGTTCATGTTCACCTTTAACTACCTACTGCACTTCTGTCCGCTCTTTATAGTCCTTTAGAGACGCTAACTAGAATGTGTTAAATCAATGCAGAAAATGTATTCAACCTTTGGAGTTTACCAACTTCAGAAGGAGTTAGTTATAGGCAAGTAAGACGTTCCTTGCAAGAGGTAATGCCATCGACCAAACATAAAATTTTATCACTATTATTATCATTACTTCGGAAGGGAAATTTCTGTTTGTTTCCTGAATGAATATCTTTTCAGGTGGTTGTTTGTGGTCTTTATCGGGATGGGAAGCTGTACTTTCACCCCAATGATGAGGAAATCCTACTGCAAACCGATAAAGTGAGTAGACATCATGGTTTTACCACCTTCTTTGGAACCCCATTTTATCATTTCGTTCTGGGTGCAAAAGACATAACTTTATGCCTAGCCATTGAATAACCGAATAGGTTTGATATAATGGTCAGTAATGAGTCTGAGATTCTCTTATCAACTCTGAAATTTATTTTTGCTTTGGTGTATATCCTTTTCCATGGCGTAATAGTTTTCAAACATATAATGGAATTACGGTTATATTTTCTTTGGTGTTAAATGATCTTCGTAGGACGTACCTGTGTTAGTATTTGACACTCCGATAATTTTCTAATGGAAACTTAGAAACCTTATAAAGAATTATATTGGAAACAATGAACAACTTTACCAGTTTTGTTGAAGGATGCTGCTTTACACTCATACTACTAAATTCAGTGCATGTTCTCGCTGACATTACTTTCATGTGTCCTCAAGTCTCCAATTTCCCTCTTCTAGATTTTGTTCATAGGACCTGTTCAGGGGAGAAAGAGGCCGCAGATTGCAGATTCTGAGGTTCTGAAAGAACACGCTGCGAGTAAAAGTTTGGAAGTTATGGAAAAGGATGGTGATCATTGGAATCACGCTGTAGAGTTGACGAAAACAAGACTTAAGAATATTGTAAAACGTCCCACTAGATCAGGGTCAAAGGTATCTATCTTCCATACACATAAGCTGGAATGACATTCGCTCTTCAACCAAACAAGTTTTCATTCTTTACCATTGAAAGCAGGCATCAGACTTGACACTAGGACCAACAGAATCTATTCTCCTACTTGGATGGCGTCCAGACGTCATTGAAATGATTAAGGAGTATGACAACTATCTTGGACCCGGAAGCACACTGGTAAACGTTATTTAGCCTGCCTGAATCTTTTTTTTTTCTCTGGCTATTTCTTATTCTGGGATCTATTAAAAAACTTGATATATGAAAACGTGTTGTTCTTTCTGAACTCTTATGGTTGCATTTCTCTATACTATACAGATTCTGGCGATAAATTTTCTCGTTTGTAGCTACTATGATGTTGATCCTGACAAACCTTTGGCATATCTTCATGCCTTATTTCTTCTCATTGTCCTCCTATCGATAGTTTCAGATTTCGTATTAAGGAATTCAGTATCTAATATCAAGTTGACGGATTCATAAATCATTTGTACAAGCAGGAGATACTATCAGAGGTACCGTTAGATGAGCGAATGAGGGCAAGTAACATTCTCAAGCTAAAGCATGGAACACTGAATCATGTCCAAGTCTCCCATAGGGTATTGTAAAAGATGCTATCATCAGAGTATTATAAACCTCTCATTTTCCTTTTCTCTACTTTGTATCTAAAAGGATATAACCTTGTGGGGCATCCTTTTTTTATTCCTGATCTTTGAACTACTTTTTAAGTAGTGCAGGTTGGAAACCCCATGGACTTTGAGACATTAAAGGAAACCATAACCAGCATCCAAAAATCTTATAAGCAAGGGAAACGTGCTCCCCTGTCCATTGTTGTGATTTCTGATAGGGGATGGCTTGCTGGAGGTATGCTAACCTGATTGCATCATTGAAACTTGGATATATCGCAAAGTGATAACTTCCCTCTCTTTCAGATGCATCCAGGGCAGACAAGCAATCTGCCTTTTCTCTTCTCCTTGCCGAAAGCATCTGCAATAAGCTCGGGGTTAAGGTGATTATTACTCATTCTATCATGAAATCAATCAGACTATTAGTTACTGCTGAGTTTTGCTGTTTCTTCCATGAAAAGAGGGTCAACAAATGAAAGCATACTTTTTCAGGTACAAAATCTCGTAGCGGAGATTGTCGACTCAAAGTTAGGCAAACAAGTAAGCCCCTTCTGATGAACAAACAAACTGTTATCTGTGGGTTTTCCTTTCCTGGATGAACTTACTGGTTCCATGTGATGTTACAGATTACTAAAATAAAGCCGTCGTTAAACTATATAGCAGCGGAGGAAGTGATGAGCCTAGTCACAGCCCAAGGTCTTATTAAATCATTATACTCTTGAACGCTCCATTCTGGAAAAATTTTCTTGTTGGTTTTATCATGGAGTGAGACTGTTTCTTCTCACTGACAGTGACACAGAACAATGAACTAAATGATGTGTGGAAAGACATTCTGGACGCGCAGGGGGATGAAATATACATCAAGGTAGTCAAACACCCTCTCTCCTCTACTTGTCAAATCTCTGAGTTATGGACAATAGCCTCTAAATGCATTGTAGTCAAAATAGCGCTTTAAAGGTTAACACTTAACAGTTTACGCTTTTTACGTAGAATCGCACTTTCCCTAACTAATTTAGTCCAAATAGCCCTTTAAAGCTTAACAGTTTCTTAGTCAGCAAAACACATCCATGTAAAATTGCAGTTTTGACTCCATTGCTTGAATGAATAATAACCATCATCGTTGCTGTGTGGTTGGTCGCAGGATGTAAGCCTTTACATGAAAGAGGGCGAGAATCCTTCATTTGCTGAGCTCACGGAAAGGGCACGGTTGAGGCGGGAAGTAGCCATAGGATATCTGAGAGGCAATAAGAAGGTAACAGATGGATAATGATAACCAACCAACCATATACACCCTATGGGACATGTTTCAAATTACCAGCATTGCTCCTTTGCAGGTCATTAATCCGAATCCGAAAACACAACCGCTCTTCCTGACATCGACGGACTCATTGATAGTCATATCTGAGCTCGAAGGAGAACAACCCATCGCCGTGTAGTATCACAGACACAGGGTTATATACATACTTACATTTGCTTTGGGCCAAATAGAAGAAACTTGCATTGCATCCAATACATGCCTTCTTCCATTGAAGAGCTGATCTAGCAAGTATGTTTGATTGAGGAATCGAGAGCATGGAAGATTGGAAGTTTGCTCAAGTGGCGACTGGAGCCTGCTGATTTTTATCTGTGAATTTTAAGACCTTCCCCCTATGTTTATAACATTATTACCGTCGAAATAGGACTTGAGACGGTAAAACTGTAAAAAAGAAAAACACAGGTGGAAAGTGAAAGGTTGTTCAGTGCATAGTGGAGTGGTACATTCGATTTGATATTCATTCCAAAGAAAAGAATGGCTTGGCTCGTAATTCTACGAGGCTTCTACTTTTGATTCTGTAAGACCACCAGGTTTGGATTTAGTCATTTTACTCATATGAATATGATCTTACATTTCGATTTTAAAAAAATAGTTTATTGATGATTGAATAGATGTGTACTAGGGGTGGATTCGGTTCGGTTATAACTGATAACCGATTGGTCGGTTACCGGTTAACCGAACTACCATCTCCCTCTACCGAACACCGACCGACGCCAATGTCTCGGTTAACCAATAACCGACCGGTCGGTTATCTGTTAGTTGGTCGGTTAACCGAGATAACCGAAAAAATGATGGTGGTTCGGTTTTAACCGGGTAAAATTATTAGAATCGCCTAAAATGAAAGGTTCTAACTTACATTTCTACATCTAAATCACACCCAAAGTAAAGTCTCAATCACTTTTGCATAGAAAATACATCTAAATCACCAAATTAATGTCTCAAATTCAACAACATAAAGTTATAAATTTCATAATCGGGTATTTTCACGTCGTTTTGGTGAGAGGGGTGGTCGGTTATTTTCGGTTAACCAGATAACCGGTTTTCGATTATTCGGTTAACCGAATTACCTATTAGGAGCTCCGACCACCGACCGAAACATATAATTTTTGGTTATCGGTTAACCGGTAACCACCGGTTATCGGTTTAACCGGTCGGTTAACCGGCAACCGATAACCGAACCTCCAGCCCTAATGTGTACTATACTTTTAATTAAAAATTCAATCCAATAGTGAAAAGATGTAAGTACTGTCAAAAGAAACAAATTATATAACATATTAAAAAATTTCAAGCAAATATACTGAAGCCAAACCCAAAAGTATGAAGGTGAATAAAAGTTGTTATTTCGATTTTGATGAAGTGCAATATGCTCCAACATATAAATTATAAGCTAACACATTCCTAACATGTGTATACTTCTAAAGTTGCAGTCAAGAAAAACAAACCAATGTAAACCGTAAGATGTATTAAATCTACGTCTGAATTTGAGTTGAATAACGCATTAAGTTAGTGAGACCACAAGAGAAAAATATGACAAGATCATATCGCAAATATTTTATTTATGATACAAATTCCTTTTGGATACGAAGTTACAAACACTTAAAACGTTATAATATGAGCTGGGTCGGGTATCTACGGTTGTGTAATCCAAAACACACACTCAACCAAGAGACATGTTCCACAAAAGAAAACTTTGACTCAACCTTAAACCTTATTTTCAACTATAAATACAAGTAAATTAATTTGAGTTGGATGGGTGGATGTGATTAGTCTTGTTCAAAACCAGTTTTTTTAAGGTCACCCCTAACACCAGTTAGTTGTACTTCGTGTGAATGTTTTGTGATGCATTCTACTGCTACCATCAGCTTAATGCATTGCTTCAATTAGGGGTGAATAAAACCAGCCGCAAACCGACCTATCCGTCCAATTCGATCCAATTAAAATCAATATTTAAGGTTAGGTGAGGGTTTTAATTTGTACAACCCGCCTCTATTGGGTTGGGTGCGGATTTTGGATTACGCAACCGTAGAAACCGACCCAACCCGTGTTCCAACTATTGTCATAAATGTTCATATACAAAACATATTTGTGTAGTATATAAGCATATTCATAAGAAAATTAAAATATTTTATCATACTTTTCTCTTGTGATTTCCCTTGTCTAATGCATTATTCTACTTTGAATTTAGACTTATATTTAATATAGGCTACCTTTCATATAATTTATTTTGTGTACAATTTTAGAAGAATAATATATATGAATAAGTTCACTTATGTTTAAGCAAATGTTTGTGGAAAAACTAGACTTATATTTAGGGGTCGTTTGCTTCATGGATTTATAAACGAGGGTTTTGTAATTTAAAACTCCAAGGATTTATCAAGGATTTAAGGCATCATGGATTTGTAACAATCCTTTGTTTGTTGGGATGTTTTTATCATGGATTTAAAGGTGTGAGATTTACTACTTGAAGTCAAAAATTACATTACTGCCCTTTTCTATATGTTTGACATGTTTATGATATGTACACAAAACAAGGACAAAACTTCAAAATTACCTTACTATCATTTTCTATATGTTTGACATGTTTATGATATGTACACAAAACAAGGACAATACATACTAATAAGCATAATGTTGCCACATGGACAATAATAATAAACGAGAAAATTCCGTTTTAACTTTTAACGTAACATAATCAATTACCAATTCTTGGTCCTCCTTTTCAAAAGTAACATATAACAACATATATTAGAATCGGGAGAACAAAGAATTACACGTTCCATGAAAAGGTCAAAGAAAACTAGAACACAAGAAATGATATAAAAAATCTAACTCATATTTGCACATTAATTGAACGTTTATATTATTCATTTATTGTTAATTATAATGTATAATAGTTAAATTTGAGGGAATCTTGGAATATTAAAAGTGCATGAGGGTATATGGGTAAAATGTCATCAAGGATTTATGCCATATTCCAAATCCCACATCAACATGTGGGATTTATAAGTCCGTGGGGTCCACGGACTTGGACCCTTAAAATCCGTGGGCCCCACAGATTTGGTCTCCAAAAAAGGTGCAAGGAAACAATGAATTGTATCTGAATCCTTGATAGTTGGTTTTTTGGTACCAAATCCAAGTACCAAATCCTTGAAGCAAACGACTCCTTAAGCAATTTGTATTTCATTTAAATGCAAATACCATTTATGCATTATGATACTTTTCGTTTTGATTTATTTGTTTAAGATTTTAATTTATTTGTTTAAGATTTTAATTAGTTATATAATATTTTGTGGTGTAGAATAGTTGTCTTTTTTATGTTGGGTTGAGTTTTTAATTAGAAGTATTTCCAACCCGACCCAACCCAACTATAAACAAAAAGTAGGGTTCTAAATTTTTTGGGTGGGTTTGGATTTGAGTTTTTCAAAACCATAATGTATGAGTCGGGTGATTAAAATGACCAAACCCGAACTACCCGACTCATGTACACCCCCTAGCTTCAATTCTTCAAAGATGCATAAGCACAGTCGTGACTCGTGAGAGGTCCACTTCATATTCAGCTCATGGGCTTCAGCTTCACTGCCCAGTAAGCCAGCCAACTAGGGGTGTTCAAACGGTGTGGTGACCATAGTAACCGTTTTAACCAGTACTATTTGGATAATTTGGTTTGGTTAATTTGGATAATTGGTTTGGTTTGGTTAAAGTTTTTACCTTGTTTGGTTTAGGTCGTTTGGTTTGGTTTCAAACACTGCTAACCAGCCAAACCAAATTAACCAGATAAATAATTAGTCATATATCTAATATATACACATACTTAATACTTTGAATAACCACTCAATAGTTAAACATTCATTCTTTTAGACTCATAAAATATAAAGCTTGATATTGTTCCTATAATGTATATTTGTATATGTAGAATGCAGACCACAACATATGAATGCCTAATTTAGATAAATCTCATACATTATGTTGGATGAAAACTTGAAAGCAAGGTCCTTTTCAGCCTATGAAAATTGCTAAAAGACTAAGTCAATCCAAACAAGCACAATAATCCATTAACCATACCATTGTGATAAATTTTTGTTAGGTGAATACTTCTATACTAACTGTAAGATAATTGTCTTAGTTGCATGTATTTATGTTAAGGGTCAACTATAACTATGTGTTGATTGTTATGTTTTATTCATTATATAAATTGTGAATTGATAAATTAACCGAAATATATCTCATTTAATGATAATATGATTTTATATTGGTTAATCTGGTTAACCAATTAACCAAACCGATTAAAATTTAATTTGGTTAATTTGGTTGTTGTGTTATTTTGGACGGTTTGGTTATGATATTATATTTCATAGTTAATAAAATTTAGCCTTATTTGGTTTGGTAATAATCATGGTAACTATTTGAACACCTCTACGGCCATCGAATTCGAAGCGAAGAAAAAACAAAATAATCATATTTATTACTCCATCTCTTTCCCTTTCCCTTTCCCTTCCCTCCCAATCCGGCAATCCCTCTAATTTTCTCGCGCTCTTTCTTCTCTCTCTGTATTTTCATTTTCCTCTCCTCCACCTTTCTTCGGGTTCGCCCACCAATTGCTTCTCATCTAAATCCAGTACCGCATCCATGCCGAAACCCTAGATAGAAGACAACTGATATCCGGCTTCGCTTCAAGGTTCTGGTAAGTCAGTTTCTCTCGGTTCTTCTTTCCTCCGTCCGTCGCATCTATATAACCCCCAAACCCTAACCCTAACCCTACCTCTTTTTTTAATTACGAAGGCCGGCGTTTGCTTCTGGCGGTGTTACCCCCAGCTTCGGCTTCGCCCTTCTTCGGTTTGACATTTCAGTGGCCATCTCGGCCGTCTACTAGTGTTGCGGCTCACCATGGCTGATCATCGGAAGGTACCCCCGCAGTCACAGGCTGGTGCGAAGGCTTCCGCCGCTGGGAGCCCTTACTCGATTGATTTGGTTAAATTTAGCTCCCGTTTGAAAGCTCTGTACTCTCACTGGACGCATAACAAAGTCGATATGTGGGCTTCTGCGGATGCCCTAGCTATTGCAACTCCACCGCCTTCTGAGGATCTCCGGTACCTCAAGTCCTCAGCCCTTAACATTTGGTTGTTGGGCTACGAGTTCCCGGAGACTGTGATGGTGTTCATGAAGAAGCAGATACATTTCTTGTGTAGCCAGAAGAAGTCATCTTTGCTGGAGGTTGTGAAGAAACCTGCCAAGGACGCTGTAGGTGCTGATGTGGTGATGCATGTGAAGATGAAGAATGATGATGGGGGTTTGCTCATGGATTCGATTTTTGCTGCTATCCATGCTGTGCGGAGTGGTGGCGATTCTGGTCCTGTGGTTGGCAATATTGCAAGAGAGGCTCCAGAAGGGAAGCTTTTGGAGACGTGGGCTCAGAAATTGGGAAATGAAAGCTTTCAACTTGGGGATATAACTGCTGGATTGTCCGACCTCTTTGCTGTCAAGGACAATGACGAGCTCATGTGTGTGAGGAAGGCTGCTTATTTATCTGCCAGTGTGATGAAGAAGGTTGTGGTTCCCAAACTTGAGAATGTCATTGACGAGGAGAAGAAAGTGGCTCATTCAGCTCTTATGGATGAGACCGAGAAGTCTATATTGGAGCCTGCGAAGGCTGGTGTGAAGCTCAAGGCTGAGAATGTTGATATTTGCTATCCGCCAATTTTCCAGAGTGGTGGAGTATTTGATCTTAGGCCGAGTGCTGCAAGCAATGATGACCTGCTGTACTATGACCCTGCTAGTGTAATCATATGTGCCATTGGATCCAGGTATAACAGTTACTGCTCAAATGTTGCCAGGTCTTTCTTGATTGATGCCACTTCCTTTCAGAGTAAAGCTTATGAGGTCCTTCTCAAGGCACATGAAGCTGCTATCAGTGCCTTGAAACCTGGTAACCCAGTTAGTGCTGCATATGAGGCTGCCCGCTCCTTAGTTAAGTCTGAATCTCCTGATCTGGTCGTCCACTTGACAAAATCTGCTGGGACTGGAATTGGTCTTGAGTTTCGTGAGTCAGGGTTGGCTCTAAATGACAGGAATGATCGGCTGGTGAAAGCTGGAATGGTTTTCAACGTGTCTATTGGTTTTCAGAACTTGCAAATCCAATCGAAAAATACCAAGAGCCAAAATTTCTCGTTACTGCTTGCTGATACAGTAGTTGTTGGTGGTGACAAGACAGAAGTTGTCACCCAAGCAAGTTCAAAAGCTGTCAAAGATGTGGCCTATTCATTTAATGATGATGATGAAGAAGAGGAGGTGAAGCCAAAACCAAAAGTTGAGGCTTATAGGAGGGAACCCGAGATGTCTAAGACAGCACTGAGGTCTGACAATCATGAGATCTCAAAAGAGGAAGTTCGGAGGCAGCATCAAGCTGAGTTAGCTCAACAGAAAAACGAGGAAACTGCTAGGCGGCTTGCAGGTGGTGAAGCTGGATCGGGAGATAGTCGTGGTGCTGCAAAATCATCAACTGATTTGGTAGCTTACAAGACAGTGAATGATTTGCCGCCTCCTCGAGAATTGATGATTTTAGTTGATCAGAAGAATGAAGCTGTTCTCTTACCAATATATGGTAGTATGGTCCCTTTCCATGTTGCCACCATAAGGACTGTCTCTAGCCAGCAGGATACCAACAGAAACTGTTATATCAGGATTATTTTCAATTTTCCTGGGACCCCATTCAGCCAACAAGATGCCAATTCCGCAAAATATCCAGGGGCTATCTATCTGAAAGAGGTTTCGTTCCGGTCCAAGGATACAAGGCATATCAGCGAGGTAGTACAGTTGATAAAAACTCTTCGGCGGCAGGTGATGGCTAGGGAGTCAGAGAGAGCTGAGAGGGCAACATTGGTTTCCCAAGAAAAACTGCAGCTTGCTAATAACAGGTCTAAGCCAATCAGATTGTCTGATCTTTGGATTCGCCCTGTTTTTGGTGGTCGTGGAAGGAAGCAACCCGGGACGCTTGAAGCTCATCTCAATGGGTTCCGCTACTCCACTTCAAGACAAGATGAACGTGTTGATATCATGTTTGCTAACATCAAGCATGCCCTTTTCCAGCCTGCACAAAATGAGATGATCACCCTCCTCCATTTCCATCTCCACAACCATATAATGGTTGGTAATAAGAAGACCAAGGATGTCCAGTTCTATGTGGAGGTTATGGATCAAGTGCAAAATATTGGAGGTGGAAGAAGATCCACTTATGACCCTGATGAGATTGAAGAAGAACAACGGGAGAGAATCAAGAAGTCGAAAATCAACGGTGAGTTTGATAGCTTTGTGTCTCGGGTTAATGAGCTTTGGACGAATCCTCAGTTTAATGGCCTTGACTTCGATCAGCCTGCGAGACAACTTGGGTTCCACGGTGTGCCTTACAAGTCCTCTGCATTCATCATCCCGGCTTCAACTTGCCTGGTCGAGTTGATCGAGACGCCTTTCCTTGTTGTCACACTAGCGGAGGTTGAGATAGTGAATCTCGAAAGAGTCGGCCTTGGGCAGAAGAACTTTGACATGACTATCGTGTTCAAGGACTTCAAGAAGGACGTCATGCGAATTGACTCCATCCCTTCCACAGCACTCGAAGGCATCAAGCATTGGCTGGATGCAATTAACATAAAGTTTTACGAGAGCAGGCTGAACTTGAACTGGCGGCAAATACTGAAGACGATTACTGATGATCCTCAGAGCTTCGTAGACAATGGCGGGTGGGAGTTTTTGAACTTGGAGGCTACTGATTCCGAGTCTGATAACTCGGAAGAGTCGGACCAAGGGTACGAGCCTTCAGCAAGCGAGCCGGAGTCGGTATCCGAAGAAGAGGATTCTGACAGTGCATCGTTGGTGGAATCTGAAGATGAGGATGATGATGTCTCTGAAGCAGACTCGGAGGACGAGAAGGGCAAGACATGGGAAGAGTTGGAGAGGGAAGCAAGCAATGCTGACAGGGAGAAGGGGGCTGAGTCCGACAGCGAGGACGAGAGGAAGCGAAGGAAGGCGAAGACTGCTTTCGGGAGGCCAAGGCCTGGACCTCCTCCCAGTTCTTTGAAGCGTTCCAAGTTGAGATAGAAGATCTGAGATTTAGTCATTTAGATAAAGCGGTGCCTTGGAATCAGACTGCCCCCCGTTTCTCATTATATGATGAGTTACCTTTCAGGTTTCTCAACAACAGTCGATGTCTTGTTAGGTATTTGTGAGGTTTTGAGGATTTACGCTTATTTTGGTTCCTCCTTTTTGGTACTCTTCCATCGTTGGTTAGGATCTGCACAAGTATTATCGTAGAAGGTTTAAGATCTTTATATGTCGCTTTTAAATTATTTGGTCATTGGAATATGTAGTCGTTTTGAATGCTTCTTATCATTATTATCTTCCAAGTTCCATCTTTCAGCATTGCATTTTCTTTTAGTATCAAATCAAGTCAAGGTATGTTGATTCAGCTCAACGTATAAGTTCAACTTTTTATCCAGGATCGAAAAACGGTATCGGCGGCTCTAACCCTCCTACCGATGCTTAAATCGGTAGGTGAATTTTAGCGGTATTAAGGGTATCAGATACCACCTTTCGACAAGGTATCGTTTGGAAGTTGCGATTGTTAAATAGGGGCTTGTTTGCGTCATGGATTTGAAAAATGAAGGTTTTGGTTAAAACCTGGGTTTTACAAAACCATGGATATATGATGGAATTGTCTCATTTGATTTTTGGTACAAACCATCGTTTACTTGTTTGATTTCATGATGTATTTGACATTATTATATTTGTGTTTGTATTAGGAATTTACCTTAGTGCTCTTATTGAGTATTATTTATATTCATTATAATTTTTGTTTAAAACAAGTTTCATCCATTAGGTTCGTCCCACTACCGCAATCGGAATAAATGAACATCATTAATCAATAACAACATCATATTATACACACAATTAGACAATTCCTTAAGGTTTTCAATATTACAAAGTATGCTTTGCGATTAATCATGTAGTGTTTTCGTGCAATGAATAATAATAATAAATAGGGTTATAAGTATAGGGGCATATTATACCTATAACTCTAATAAATATTGAATGCAAAATTAATATGCACTTCAAGTTGGTAATTAGTAAATGAAAGAGGATGAGTATGTGATTAGTGAAATAAGTAGGGTTAAAATTGTAAAAAGTCATCATGGACTTTGTACTCCAAAATCCCACCTCTTGGGGTGGAATTCTCAAGTTCGTGGGCTCCACGGATTTGGACCCTCAAAGTCCGTGGGCCCCACGGATTTATTCCTCTTAAATCCATCAAGCAAACGACGGATTGTGTACAAAGTCCATGATGCTTGGTTTTTAAGTACCAAATCCATGATCAATTCCATGAAGCAAACGAGGCCTAGATGTATTGTTGAGAATGCATGTATAATATAATACATGTATTGTCGAATTTGATGCATTGTAGAATACAACGTTTGGTATGTGTGATTGTGTATGTCGCATCAGCTGAAAACTGAGACAAAACAATCTCAACTATCTCAACAATCACAACTAAAAGTTGAGATATAACAATCACTCAAAATGAGTGATAGTTTCTGTCACATCACAGAAACAATCCATGTATTGTTTCAGCTAAAAAAACAAAAAAACGATGCATTGTAAACAATATATACATAACGACAATCTCAACAAAACCATCGCAACTTCCAAACAACCCCTAAATTCACCTGGTAAATGATCGAACTTGGCATGAATGGTGAAGTGCGAATCCAGATAAGAAAGAGTGGCTTGTTTTCTGTTGTGTTACCGGCCGGTTGAATTATACCAAAATTGTTCCTCAAACCATGCTAGTAGTTTCTGAAAAAAGTCGGACCTTAGGTTTGGCGGCCGACTGACCCGGCATCTTTTGCCCTAACTATTTACTGAGCGCACACAACACGGGAGAGATTGAGAAGAAGAAGAAGAAACAGAAACGGAGGTGTCAAATTCCAAAGCCGTATAAACATTAAGGTACGGCTATCACTGTCGGGCGGCGAGGGAGGGAGGGAGCGTCCCAAATACTGTCGTCAATCATTCCATTTCGGAGTCCGGTTTCCTTTCTCTCCGGCTCTCTGGCGGCGGGGAATACATATTGAGCTGCGAGCATGGCCCACGGCGGCTATGGCAAGCGCAGGGTCGCCGGCCGACAGCCTTCCGTCGGCCGTCGGTCGAAAGCAATCGACAAGAAAGGCAAATCCAAGTCCGTCTCTCTCAAGAACCAGATTCGTTCTGTGGAGCGTATGCTCCGTAAGGTACTCATCTTCGTCGCATTTGTTGTTCGTAGGAAGCGAGGGGAACCTCGTTTGTGGTGGTTGCCGCCTGTAGGATTAGGGTTTTTTTTGGGTATTGAGTGCTATGTTCTTACCGGAATTGTGTTTTCTGTGAAGCAATTGACGCCGGAAGTTAGGGAAGCGCAAGAGAAGAAGTTAGAAGGGCTGAAGAATCAGCAGGATCTCCATACTCGATTGGCTCTTGAGCGCAAAATGTTCTTGCGAGACAGGAAGATTAAGTTCTTTGGTGCGTTGTTTTTGTTCTCCTAGTATTAGCACTAGCCTGTTTCTGTTTGATTGTATTTGGTTTTTGATTGACTGTGGAGAGCTGAGTTGTGCCACACTATGATTGTTTTTTTCAGAGAGGAGAAAGGTGGAAAGAAGAATCAGACGATTGGAGAGGCAACAGCGAGCTTCTTCCGGCCAGGCACTAGATCCCCAGGCTGTTGAGCAGCTATCTAAGCTGAAGGAGGATCTCGAATACGTTAGAGTAAGCTCTGATAATTTACGTTTGTGTGCCCACCTCGTTGAGTGTTTGTGCTTTGCAATGTATTTGGAATGTTTCTTTGTGAGGGAGGAAGTGAACCGTTGTGAAGAAATTTTGGTGAAGTGAACTCTTTGTACTGAATTTTGCAGTTTTTCCCCAAGACCGAGAAATATGTGTCTTTGTTTTCTGGAGGCGATGATTCTGAGGTCCTCGATAAGAGAAATGGATTGCGGAAACAGATTAAAGCCAACCTAATTGCTGCTGCTGCCAATGGCAAAGACCTCGAAGGTATGTTTGACGCTTAATCTTTTAGTGTGCGCTGACCCTAGATAATAACTTGGAAGGAAGGTTTAGGAACAAGGACAAGATGTAGAACCGACACTCCCCATGTATTGTGCTTGATTATTTGTGTGGACAACTATGTGCGTGTGGTTTGGAATATACCATAGTGCTCTGCCCCCCAGTTAATATCTTGGAAGAAAGGTTAGGAATAAACACATTATTTAGAACTGACCCCTCCCTTGTATTGTGCTTGATCTTTTTTGGATTACTGTGTATGTGGCTCTGGCTTACATTTCTTGATTCCATGTGGGCCTGAAATAGAGAAAAAAGAACTACTTGCTCTGTTAGAACTTGTGTTGTTGTAGACTTGTCTAAATTTGGTTTATTTCGTTTTTGGGTCCTCCACTTGTGCTGTCAGAGACGGGAAGTGAGGATGATGGGCTGTTGGATCTCAGCGAGGATGATTTCTTCCTAGCTGGAAGCTCAAGTGATGAAGCAGATGCAGATGATGAGTGGACAGACAAAAGCACAAGGTAAAATGTCACCGATCTTCGATTCAGTCCTAGGTTCGTTACATACATTGGAAAACACTGTAAGGAATGAGTACTGATTCCAAGTCTGTACTCCGTTGGTGTGAGCTTTCTTTGATACATCAGTAGCAATGCTCATATTCTAAAAGAAGGAAAAGAAAGACGAAAGCTGTGTGTTAGCTCACACTACTGAATGTTGTATTAAACAGAGAACAGGCTTCAAGTACTTCTGGTAAAGCAGCATCTGGCATGTCAAGCGATGAAAAGAATCAGGTCATTTATTTCAGAGTCCAAATCCCATCTTTTAGAGTGCATTCCCTGTATTGCAATGCTTCTTCTTCCTTCCCCGTCATCTGGGCTCCATTTCTCACTTTTAGCTGGCGCTGTACAGAGGGAGATATCTGCTAGAGCTCTGATGCCCCCTCCCAGGCCTTCACACAACTCAAGTCGTTCCAACACAGTCCATGGGAGATCAAGGTTTGGAGCGTCATCAAGTAAAAATTCGTGGAGACAGAGGGCTGATATATCTACTACATCCAGCAACACTTCAAGCAGCAGCAGAAGTGGTCCGTCCACTTTTCAACCTGGCAGCGGCAGGGGTTCTTTAAATGGCAGGACTGGCAGTGGCACTGGCCAGAGCAGTAATGTTAGTTCTGGCTCTGATGCTCATAAGCCGCACAGGAAGAGGAAGAGAAGAAAGAAGAAGCAACAGGTATTCCATTTCACAGTTCCTCATTCATCTGTGTTAAGTTTTATTGCGATCTGCAGTGACGAATTATGCTCTCTTAAACATTTGCAGGCGTAACTTTTGTGTAACTATGGTTTTGCTCGGTCGAGGAAGACGAACGTACCAATGTCATGTACTTTGGTGCGTTGGACAATGTTTTGGCAGCTGCAGACTGCAGCTACATATACGTGTTGTAAAACGTTAAACTCTTGTTCCTATCGAACAGTCTTTTATTGCGCTCGAATCATCGATTTAACATTGTTTCGATAGGTTGGTTTCCTTTCGACGTCGTCTGCTCTGCTCTATGCCTTAATACCATTTCCTTTGTCTTAGTCCTTACTTCACCCTCTGCCTGTTTGGCCAAAGCTCGCAAATGAGCATGTGTTTGTTATTGTGTGGATATTGACTGTAGATCCAACGGATGTCCTGGCGACAGTTTTTTAGGAGGTTGTTTGGATGAGGTATTGCGGCCCAAATAATTTATTGTGATTTGTGAGTCATTTGTAACATACTAATCTGTATGGAACTCAACGGACAATCAATCATTTTAACTTGTGTTATACCCTCGTTATTTCTCATTATCTCATTCCACTTTCCATAACCATTCCTCTTTTGAGGGCATTACAATATTTACCCATAGCAAATTCTATTTGCAAATGAATCATAAATTTTCTTCATTAAAAAAGATGTTTCTACTCTCAAATTTATCAAATGGTACACAAATACTACATTTGAAATTCATGGGTAAAAGAAAGTAATATGAAATCAACAGCGAACAGCGGATTAGCGACTCCGGCGCCGGCCCTACTCCCTTCTGACCGGCCACCGGACTCCCTTGATTCCTCGGCTCCAGCCAATTGCGCTAGGGTTACTGAAAGCGTGGCCCCGAACATTGGTGTTTCTGATATGGCGATTGACGCATCTGTTTTGTCTGTGCAGGCTTCTCCGGTGGATGCGACGCAAAAACAGGGGCTTCAGGACCTAGCCGTTCCTGGACGACGGCTGGACCCCTCTTCTCAGACCTCGTCTCAACAAACGCAAACAACAACGAATCCTCCAGTTTTGAACTTCAAAGCAGCTTTGGCGGGATCGGCGGCAAATCAAGGCAGAAAATCTCAATGGACTTTCATCGGAGACAGGGATCTTGAACCATCTTCTTTTCAGGGAGAGCCAGCTCTAAAGGTCTCGACAGCTCTAAAGGAACGGCTCTGCCAGCCATGGCAGAAAACCCTCATCGTTCGCTTACTTGGCAGATCGATCACCTATTCCTACCTTGTCTCCCAGCTGAAATGGAAATGGCGGCCGGTGGGATCTCTGGAAATTATAGACCTCAACAACGACACTTTCTTAGCAACTTTTGGCAACAATCAAGATTATCTTAGAGCACTAACAGGAGGGCCTTGGGTCATTCTCGATCACTATTTGATCGTTCACCAATGGTCACCGGCCTTTCGTACCTCGGACAAGCCACATCGATCGGTGGTGGCCTGGGTACAGCTCCCCGAATTGCCAGTACATTTCTATCATCGGGAGATTCTTTTCGCCCTTGGAAACTTGATTGGAAGAACCATCAAATTAGACTATCATACGGAGCATTTAGAAAGAGGCAAGTTCGCTAGAATTGCCATCGAGCTCGACATGACGAAACCTCTGCCCACAAGAATCTGGCTTGATGACTTCTGGCAAGCTATCCTGTACGAAAACTTACCCACAATCTGCTATGGATGTGGCCGAATTGGTCATCAAGAAGAAGGTTGTCCTCAGAAGAGGCAGGAAAACCAGGTCACCACTCTTTGCCTACCTGAACCCCCATCCCAAACGCTGTCGCCGACGAACTCTCAGGAACCTCCGGCGGGTTTCGGACCCTGGATGCAGGTCACCCGAAAATCGCGGAAACAAGGAAGGAAAGCACCCAACATGGAAAACCCAAATCGTGGTCAGCTACAGTCCAACCGCGGGGATTTGGCCAAGATTTCGGCGGCAACAAAAGGAAAGAATGAAGAAATTAGTGGGAAAGGATACAGAGAAGGGAAAGGAAAGTTGGAACAGAGACCAGGAAACAAAAAGGACAACTCAGAGACATTAAAGACAAAACTTCTCCCCACTGAAGATAAATCCAACGGTAAAAAGAAAATTCAGCCATCGCAGGAGTGGCGGCCCATTGTTGAAAAGCAACAAAAGGAAACCCAGCCCAAGAGCCAAGATAAGCCCAACCCAATGAACGTTGTCACTGACCCATCTTCGTCGAATTCCAAACCGCAGACCATAACCCAACATTCAAGAGACGGAAAAGGAGCTAACATTCATATCATCACAGTTCCCGAACTGGCTCTCACCGCCAAGGAAAATCAACCGAAGGAATCCCGGGAAAGCGTCTCGATCAGAAAACATTTCAGAAGAAAATCAACCGAAGTTAGCTCCCCAGCGAATACCAAGAAGGGCAATAGCCTCCGGGTGTCGAAGTCAAGCCATTGCATGAACTCGAGCGCGCGGGATGGCAAAAGACCACATCACAAGAAGAAATCCCATAGCCATACAAAATCGGTGGAAGAGCTGCTGGACCATCTTCAAGCGACTCCAATTCCCGGCGAAGGCGACGCGGGATACAAAGGGGTTGACGAACAAATGTCAGAAATCTCAAATCCCCAACAAAGTGAAGCGAAGGAGGGGTCGATTCTGGCTGTGGCAATGCAAGAGACAGCAATGGCTCCGGCGGCGGCTGCAAGTATTTGAACTCTGGGTTGCTTCTGCACCTTGTCAGGGAAGTCTGAATCTCCTTTCTGCCCTTATTTTTATCCATGTTTAAGATTTTTAGCTGGAATTGCCGGGGGGCTAAACACCCAAAATTTCTCTCGACCTTTAAGGAATATATGTTAGCCCATAAGCCAAATCTCGTCTTCGTCGTGGAGCCACGAATCAGTGGCAAGGATGCGGAAGATGTTATTAAGCTTATGGGGTTTGATAAGCACTTCCTTGTTGATGCTATTGGTTTCTCTGGCGGCATCTGGGTGCTGTGGAGGGATGATGAGTTCTCTATCACGGAACTGGATCGTGATTCACAATTTCTGCATTTCTTGTGTACAGGTCGCAACAATGTCTCAGTCATCTTGACAGCTGTCTATGCTAAGCCGAATGAACAAGATAGGAGACCGCTGTGGACTGCTTTGCGCCGCCTAGAGCAGAACGCTATGAGACCTTGGCTGCTAGCGGGAGACTTCAACTCGGTGACCTGTCCGTCAGAGCGGGCAGGAGGAGCAAAGTATAATCCCTCTCGTGCTGCTAGCTTCAACTCGTGTATCAGGGATTGCGGCCTGATTGATGTAGGCTTCAAGGGTCCTAAGTTTACTTGGAGCAATGGAAGTTTGTTCCAACGGCTAGATAGAGCTTTATGCAACCAGGAGTGGATCAGACAGTTTCCCGACACTTTAACTACCCACTTGCCAAAGCTCCGCTCGGATCATAGGCCTATTCTTACCTGCAGTCATAACGATCATATTCCACCGAGGCAGGTAAGGCCCTTTCGTTTCCTAGTGCCCTGGCTAGCCCATAAAGACTTTCCTTCTACCCTTGAAGCCTCGTGGACCCGAGGAAGGGATTGTTTGTTGTCCTTGCAGGAGCTGCAGGTTCATCTTACGCGCTGGAACAAGGAGGTCTTCGGCAACATATTCTGGAGGAAAGCAAAACTTTCCAAACAACTTACTAGGTTGGAAATTCAGAATGAGACGACGGCAACTGAAGCTTCCCTAAGACGCGAGGGACAGATCCGAGAAGAGCTCGAACAGACGTTGTGGTAGGAGGAACTCTTGTGGTTACAGAAGGCGAGGTCAAATCAGATTGTTAATGGAGACAGAAATACTCGGTATTTCCACACTGCTGCCTTGACACGTCGGTGCAAGAACAGAATTACGAAGCTTCAAGCAGAGGATGGGACTTGGATTGAGGATCCAGAGATGCTGAGGTTGATGGCAAGGGAGTTCTATGTTCATTTGTACCTGGATGATTGCACAGGGCAGCAACAGATTCCAGCAAACTTCAACGCCCTTACCGAAGCTATGACATCCCACCTAGCGGTCAGCCCGACTTTGGAGGAAACCTACAAGATTATCAAAGGAATGGGAGGGCTGAAGGCACCTGGGAAGGATGGTTTTCATGCCACCTTCTACCACAAGTGCTGGAAGGAAGTGGGAGCAGATTTCCATGAACACATCGTGTCTTGCTTCAGGAGTCCGGATCGGATTAAGCTGTGTAATGATACTTTGCTGGTGCTGCTGCCTAAAGTGGAAACTCCAAAGCAGATGGCTCAGTTCAGACCGATTGGACTGTGCAATGTTAGCTACAAGGCTATAGCAAAGTGCCTTGCCAATCGGTTAAAGAATTTCATGCCGCGGCTTGTTGACCCGAACCAGACAAGCTTTGTTCCTAAAAGGCATATCACAGATAATATTATCATTCTGCAGGAGGTAGTACACACTATGTCTCGCAAGACTGGGGCTAAAGGTCAAATGATTTTGAAAATCGATTTGGCTAAAGCTCATGACAGGATCAATTGGAAGTTCCTAGAATCTACGCTTGTGGCGGCTGGCCTTCCGAACGATTTTGTCCGGCTTGTCATGGCTTGTGTGACTACAGCTAGTTTCCAGGTTCTTTGGAATGGCGGTTGTACAGAGTCCTTTCAACCGACCAGGGGTCTTCGGCAGGGATGTCCTCTTTCACCTTATCTTTTTACTTTATGTATTGAAAGGCTTAATCATTGCATTAAGGACTCAATTGATAGGGAGGCTTGGAAACCGATTAATTTATCGAAGGATGGGCCCTCACTTACCCATTTGTTTTTTGCAGATGATCTGGTTTTGTTTGCTGAAGCGGATCTAAAGCAGAGCGAGGAAGTCATGGCCTGCTTGAACCGCTTTTGTGAGGCTTCGGGGGAGCAAGTCAGCAAAGAAAAATCGTGTGTCTTTTTCTCCAAGAACACCAGGGAACAAACGAAGAGAAGAATTAGCGACATGTTGGGGATAAAACAAACAAGTAACTTGGGTCGTTACTTGGGGGTTCCTGTTCTCCATGGCAGAGTCACTAAGGATACGTATAAGTATGTTTTGGAGAAGATTGATCAGCGACTCTCTGGTTGGAAGGCGAGAAGCTTATCTCTAGCTGGTCGGGTGACGTTGGCGGTATCAGTGTTGAATGCCCTTCCAAACTATGTCATGCAAACGGCGGTCCTTCCCATCTCGGTTTGCGAGATCATCGACAAGAAAGTGAGAGCCTTTGTCTGGGGTACTGAGAATGGTATTTCCAAGACGCATTTGGTTAAATGGGAAACAATCTGTAAACCAAAAGAAGAAGGCGGGCTTGGGTTAAGATCAGCAAGGGCACTTAACCTCTCATACTTGATGAAATTGGGATGGGCTTTTCTAAACCAATCAGATGAGCTATGGATCCGCATCCTGCAGGGGAAATATTTTACAACTAATGCTGCAGGTGCTATGATCATGAAGAAAAGCAATTTCTCAAGGCTTTGGAGAGGAATTGTTGATACTTGGCCTATCCTGAAGGAACGTATTGTGTGGGACATTCGGGGAGGTTGTAATATCCACTTTTGGACGGACTCTTGGCTTGCCGAGGGGATTGTCCTGAAGGACCAGATTACTGGCGATGGAGCGGAGATCGATTGGCATGCCACAGTGGCAGATATGGCTACTGCCGAAGGTGAGTGGAAGTGGAATGAGATTGTGCAACATCTAACTCCAAACTTTGTTGCTTTAATTGCAGGTACTGATCCGCCAAAGGAGGGGCTGGGGGAAGACATCACAGCCTGGGGGATGGAGCAGGATGGGAAGTTTAAACTCCGCTCTGCCTACTTGGCGGCCGTGGAATGGTTGAGTGACGATGAACCTGCGTTAGAAGAGACGACTGCCCAACCGCACTGGAAGAAACTCTGGAATTGGGCCGGCCTTAACAGGATTAAACATTTCTTGTGGTTGGTTTTCCATGACAGGCTAATGACGAACGCGGAGCGGAAGAGGAGGAAACTCACCATGATTGATACCTGCCCGACGTGCGGATCTGAGGCAGAAACAGCAGAACACATTTTGCGCCACTGTCCGAGCTCCCAACAGGTATGGCGTATTCTGGGAATTCATGATGATCTGCTTACGTGCGGCCTTGGCTTTGCAGCATGGATGGACAAGCACCTCAGGGAGGACAGGGAAGGTCTCTTATTCGGAGTAGCAGCTTGGTACATCTGGAAAAGACGGAACGAGAAGGTGTTCCATAATTTGAATCAGGAGGATCATGTGCTGGCGCACCGGATTCGTTGCTGGACGACGACCATCAGACAAGCTCTAACAGATGATAAGGCAATCAAAGAAGCAGTGACGGAGAAATCAGCTCGACAGTGTGCTTGGATCCCACCATCTCAGGATTGGGTGTGTGTGAACACAGACGGCTCAGTGAAACAACCAGGATCGACGGCTGCTGGTGGCGGATTGATTCGAGATTGGTCTGGGAAATGCATGGGAGCGTTTGTGGAGAATCTCGGAGTGTGCACGATAACTAGAGCTGAAATTATGGCGGCCATCCGAGGGCTCCAACTTGCATGGAGGAACGGCTATAGGAAGGTCCTCCTACAAATGGACTCCACAACAGCAATTAACATCCTCTCCTCCAGTGCTCACATGGAGCAAAGGTACTGTATCCTGGTTCAGCAATTCCAGGAGCTACTCAATAAAAGCTGGGAAGTGAAGATTTCCCACATCTATAGAGAAGGGAACAAGGCAGCAGATTTCCTGGCCAACAAGGGCCATACTAGTAACATTGGCTATCATGACTTTGAGGTCTCTGACTCTGGTTTAGCTTTTTGGATCTTGTATGACACTCTGGGTATTTCCCAAACCCGTTTAATCTAAGTTTCAGGCAGGGGCGCCCTTTTAGCGTCCCACTTTCCTACCAAAAAAAAAGAAATTCATGGGTAATTTATGCACAAATACCAAATCATAACAATTACTAACCCATCAAACCACCTCTTACTGGTTGTTTGGTTTTGGTGATAGTTTGGTTACTAATAAAGGCTAAACGTGATATTTCTCCCAAAAAAATAGTATAACTTATTTCAAATTTCGATACTATAATAACTGACACAAAAACAAATAATATAAACTATAATATTACATGTATTGTTCACAATGCATTAATTTAATTATCATTAAAATCAAAATGGGTGCCCATCTAATCAAGAGTTAGGATCTCAACTGGTTTTACCCTTGGGTGTGGTGGTATGACGGTATCATTGTTACCAATTATTAGTTAACCATATACAAATCTTACGATGATAATTAGTTAGTTGATCTTAGAAATATCACATTGAAAACTAATTCATTCAAACTCAAGAGTTGCCTTGTATCTCATACGCTTCATTGCATACCAACTTGGTGGACATGGATGACAAAAGAATCTGTTATCGTGGATATCAAACCGAATTCAAATCGTTTAAGCATCCCTAAAGCATTATAATTACCTCTTCCACACAATTTTTAACTCATTTCCCTCACATTTATAAACAAATGTCTTGACAAAATATAATCATGATTTATGAATTGATTACGACTAGTTTTGTGCCCGCCCAATGGGTGGTGTGTTACATTTGTTTGCACCTTTACTTCTGTTATATGTCATTTTTTCAATGGTATCGGACTCCTAGTTTTCATATTTATTTATTATTGTTATCTATTATCCGTGTTTCATCATAAATGAGGGGCGCTTTGAATAAAAAAAAAAGATATGAGGGGCGCTAGATTTAATCAAGGTTTTAATCATGACCAACAAATAATGTCAAACAACGTTGTAACTTCATCACTGCTTGAAAAATAGTATTCATACCATCTAATCTTTGATTGACCTACAATTTTGAACTTCATAAGTTGTACATGGTTTAAGCTAGCGTACCTTACCGAACTCATTTCAAGTTTTGCTATTTAGACAATTAATTAACGAAGTTTGGGACATGATATTATACCATAGTCTCTAATGGGTGAACCCCATTCTCTAATTCTCAATCCAAATCGTAAGATTCATTTAATACAAAAATAATAACCAAGGATTATTATTTGTCAAAATATATTAAAAAACAACTAATAGGCGTGAATGAAGGTGTATATTACACCTTGATTGTACGCTAGCCTTTTCCACCATTTTATTAAAGTACAACCAAACTTGATATGCTTCTATATTACCTTCAACATTTTATGAATGATATCAAATTGAAATGTTAGTTATAGAGACACTTTGTCTTCACTTCACATTATCATCCAATATTAAATGTGTGACTGGTTGTAATTTGAATTGTGTGATAACTTAATACAAACATAAAGGCGCCATGTTGTGCAATTAGTACAATAAATGAATTTACAGGACATTGGTGAGGGTATGATCCTGCGTTGGTTTTACAGGACACCGGTTCGTGTATGTCCCGCACTGTTATACAGGATATCGGTCGGTGTATGATCCCGTAGTGGATTTACAGGACACCAGTCTAGGTACAATCCACTGTGGTGTACATTACATTTAATGTACTATCCGAGGAGTGTATGGCTTGGCAAATTAAGAAGTAAAAAGTACTTAATCAACCTAACGATGCATGTGATTGAATTCTTGTGTAAAGCTTACTTATGATGTGGTTAAGTGATGACTTCCTATGATGTGATATATTAAATGTGCATGTCGATGATGATAGTTATGTGATGGTTTTCTATGGTGTTTTAGACAATGATTTACCATTAGATGGTGTGATATTTCGCTATGTTGGGACGAGGTTAAATGGTAATGCCGATATGATGTGATACTTGATGCATACATGTTTATAAAGTGAGTTATCAAGAGGTTGAGTGATGGTTCTTATGTTGTTAATGTATGAATTATTTGAGTTTGAGATGATGAACGTGGTATGAGATGTGGTGATGAATGAATGTTTATTTGAATGAATGAGATATAGCATATCGGATGTATCTTGACAATTAAGTTAAGCGAGTAAGGGCTGAGAGGTGGGTGACGGGAAACTGAATATTCCATATTTTGCCATGGTCACTGGAAGGGACAATAAGTCCTTTCGAGTTGTACTCTTAAAGGTAACAGAGAAGGATTATATCATTATCTTATGAGTCGGGTTATCCGGCGAGTATAAATGGTTACTAAAAATAGAAAAGTAATATATGTATTAGCGTGTCACATTAAGTAAGGATTAAAATAGTTATTTACATCTCAATCATATATATATTAATATTCGTTTATAAATATTTTTTAATTAAGATGCTATGCATCTGAAGATGACTCAGTTGCAAATCTACACTCTAGGAAAAAGAAAAGAATTAATGTCAAACAATAAAAAGAAAAAAGAAAAATTATAATTACATCACGAAAAAGTAAAGACATTGTATTTTATAATTGTACATGGAAGAAAATTCAATGACGTACGAAAATTGGAAAATAGAAGAAGTTAGAATCGCACAAAAGAAAAGATAATGATATCATTTAGGACTTTGCTACGGTGACATGCACTTTTCGGTCGACCTCATATAGGATTAGGTCGACCTAATCTATTGTTTCAGTGTAAAAACATTTTCATGATGCCTACTTTGGAAATTCATATCTTACAATTGGCTAGATGAAAATTGGAGATTAAAGGCTTGTTTTGAAGCTGAAGTGTCCCTCTATACATTAAAGTACTTGGGAGCTCAATAGAAAGTCCAGAAGACCATTTTTGAAACTGACCAAAAGGCTATGCCAAAACTGGGAAACTGCCTGAAAATGGCTAAGTCTGGCAACGTGTTTGTCAAGCCTACTTTGGAGCTAAATTTTAGAAGCATGGATGCGAGTCAAGTCCAGGGGCCTCTACCACGTTAAATTACGTATTTTATTATACAAAGGCAAGAAATTGGATGAAAGATTGAATATCTTTAAGGATTCAAACAAAAGGCTCGAAGTTGCTACGAAGGCTGTTTTTCTGGCAGCTTGCTTGGGCTCGAAGTCTGCCAAAAAAACAGCCTTTGTAGCAACTTCGACCCTTTTGTTTGAAGCCTTACAGATATCCAATCTTTCATCCAATGCCTTGAATTTGTATAAAAACATACCTAATTTAACGTGGCAGAGGATCCTGAACTCGACTCGCATTCATGCTTCTCGAATTGAGCTCCAAAATAGGCTTCACAAACACGTTTTCAGACTTGGCCATTTCCAAGCAGTTTCCCAGTTTTGGCATAGCCTTTTGATGAGGTTCAAAAATGGTTTTCTGGACTTCCTATCGAGCTCTCTTCCACTTCAATATGTAGAGGGACACTCCAGCTTCAAAAAAAGTCATTAGTCTTCAATTTCCATCTAGCCAATTGTATGATATGAATATCCAAAGTAGGCACCATGAACTGTTTTTACACTGAAACAATAGATTAGGTCGACCTGATCCTATATGAGGTCGACCGAATCCTAAATGAGGTCGACCAGATCCTATATGAGGTCGACCGAATTCTAAATGAGGTCGACCTAATCCTAACTGAGGTCGACCGGAAAGTGCAAGTCACCGTGACATGCATGTCACCGTAGGCACACCCTATCATTTAATATGCGAGAAACGTAAAACTCATTCCCTAAAGATGCCAAATACATATGTATGCACATTACTTTTCTTGTAACTTCGTACCAATTGAGCATGGACATATTTAAGTCATATAACCATAATTCGGTTTCAAAAAGAATAGAAAAAATTTGGTAACCATTGGTGTCTGGTGATATTCTTAAACACATAAAATTGTTGTGTATCACTAAATTGAATTATGTTGATATATTTTATTAATCTTAAAATATAGAAATATCTCACATGAATAAGTTATTATGACTATGGTTTGGACTTATCAAACCATCATTTTTACTTCAGCTATTATCTCTTAATAATCTAGTAATCACACAAAAAATGTTATTTTTCTAGTACAGCGCGATAAGAGTGTATTAGCTCATATATTTATAGTAGCTATTTTCTAACAAATTGCAACATAACTGTATTGGTTCACATATTTATAGTAGTTCGTACAAAAAAATGTTAAATATTTCGTGTTAGAATATGAAAGAAGGTTATTCTTTGCTTTTTAGTTTTTCATTTTTGAAAATCATATGTCAAATTATGTAAAAGTTAATAATTGGGTACCAACTAAATTCATGCTTTTTGGATTTTTTAATTATTTTCCAAAAATTATAAATATCATCAAACATATTATAAACTAAAAATAAAAATAGGTTATTTTTAGTTGTTAGTGATTTCTATCGTTTCTTAAAAATAGAATACAAAATTTTAATCGTGATAGTTTTTTTATTGTGTAATGTACATAAATCAATATTTTTTTTTATAAAATGATTATTAATCTTGTTGTGATTAATTCCATCAAATATATTTTTTCCTATTGGTTAAACAACTTAAATGATTATAGTTTGAGCTCGTGGGTGGCATGATTAAATCTTAGATATGGTGATGGATATACATATTTTGTTGTGATCAATAGCATGAAATATACTTTATTCTACTGGTTGAACACTTGAAATGAAGGTCATTGATTCAAATCATGGTCATGATGATTGATACACATGTTTATTTAGTTTTATTTTAAAATAATTAATAAATTAAAATGTTGAAATCGTAAATGACATGGAAAATTGTGGAGCTTTCTTTGTACTACGTGGCAAAAACTTTAAAAAATTATAAATATTATCAAACATATTATAAACTAAAAATAAAAATAGGTTATTTTTAGTTGTTAATGATTTCTATCGTTTCTTAAGAGTAGAATACAAAATTTTAATCTTGATAGTTTTTATTGTGTAATGTACATAAGTCAACATTAAATAAAAATATAATTTTATGTGTTGTATATTTTTTTTATAAAATGAGTATTAATCTTGTTGTGATTAATTCCATAAAAGATATTTTTTTCTATTGGTTAAACAACTTAAATGATTATAGTTTGAGCTCATAGGTTGCTTGATTAAATCTTAGATATGGTGATGGACATACATGTTTTGTTGTGATCAATAGCATGAAATATACTTTGTTCTACTGGTTAAAAACTTGAAATGATGATAGTTTGAGTTTGGAGGTCATAGGTTTAAATCTTCATCATTATTATGATTGATACACATGTTTATTTTATAAAAATTGTGAAACTTTTTTTGTTCTACGTGGTAACAACTTTCTCCACAACTATCACTCTAGTAAAAACTAAAAACTTCAATTGACACAGCTAGTCCCACAGCCGTCTCCGCTGTCCAAAGTACAACAACCGAACAGGCAAACACAAAACGAAGAGAAACAGAATCCCTTCTCCAATCGACCAATCCATTTTCGTCCGCTCCTTTCTTCGCTGGCGGCTAGGATTCCGGCACCCCAATCGAAAGTCTCGAGCTCCCCTCGAATTCGATCAAGTAAAAGGAAACACGAAACGGAGCGGAAAAGCGCAAAGCTTTTTTAAGGAGAAGAAGGAATGGCAGGAGGAGGAGCAATTCACCGCTCTCTCCTTCTTTACTCATTGCTCCAGCTGGTGTTCATCCTGCTTTCTTCCCTCCCCACAGCCCTAGCCGACGGCGTCTCTTCCGTGGAGGCCAAGCATCTCCGCGACGAGGTAGCTACTGTCTCGCTCTTTCTGCCTCCTTCGATCATCGCCCTAAATTGTTCTGATTCAATTCTGGTTATGCGAATGAACCCGGCATCGGATTGATCTCCCGATTCTTTGTCTATGTACGTCTCTTGGATCTCGTATTCGAGATCGTGGGCAATCCAGGTGGCGATTGTTCATTTTTTCACAATTGATTTATCTACGAGCTCGACCTTAACCTTAATTTTGATGGCCATTGGCAGGTGCGGGAAATGTTCTATCACGCATTTGATGGATACATGAATAACGCTTTCCCGCTTGACGAATTGAGACCCCTCTCATGTCAAGGTGAAGATACGCTTGGTGGTTATGCACTCACTCTGGTTTGCCCCAAATCCGTTTCTGCCCCCTTCCTTTTGGATCGTCTCTGTTTCCCCGCTTCTACCTCAATGGAAGTATGGTAACAGTGATGCTGCTTTCTATGCTGCTGCAGATTGATTCGTTGGATACGCTTGCTCTACTTGGGGATAGAGAGCGGTTCACTTCTTCCGTTGAATGGATTGGTAAAAATCTACAGTTTGATATAGTGAGTAAGCATTTTTCAAAGTACATGCTGGGCTAGCTAGAGAATTGTTGGTTATTTTTAACTACTTGGTCTACACACTGTATTGGGTTGCTTGAGATTTTTGTTGAAATTAGATTGGTTTATGGTTTGATGATTGGCAGAATAAGACGGTATCTGTTTTTGAGACCAGCATCCGGGTTCTTGGAGGTTTACTTTCTGCCCATCTTATAGCAAGTGATTATGCCACGGTACCGTACTTCTCTTTTTGTTCAAACTTGCACTATCTCTATGTCTATATCTTAAAACTTACAAAATGGGTAAGATAACTGGTTTTATTGATGATCACATAACGTATAGGTGCTTTGAGTTCAGTATTCAGTTTGCTGGGTGCATAAAACCAAATCACGTTATTAGTTCTCTCCCACCGCTCGACCTTGGAAGTAACTCTGTGGTTCTTATGTGTTGCAGGGTATGAGAATTCCTTCATATGATAATCAATTGCTCAACCTGGCTGAGGATTTAGCTCGGAGAATGTTACCTGCATTTGACACTCCAACAGGTATTGGAGCCACAGTGATAAAATTAAACCTTAAAGTTTATATCAAATTAGGTTCTCATATCAATTTTGTATTAAGTTGTTGCTTATCACGCCTACTAGGAATTCCGTTTGGCTCTGTCAATCTACTGTATGGCGTTGACGAACATGAAAGCAAGGTACTACACATAGTTTTTTATGGCAAGTGCATCGTTTTAATGATTACTGTATAGCAACATTGTGTTTGTGTCTTCACCATTTTCCACCTGTTGGAACTCTTTTATTTTCCAGTTGTTCCACCTTTGCATAGTTTATATGTCCCACTCCTGTACCCTGGTTTTATGCTTAGATAACATCAACTGCTGGTGGAGGGACTTTGACATTAGAATTCGGGGTGCTAAGTCGCTTGACAAACGATCCAAGTACGTATGTTTATGGAAGCAAAAAAATTATTTGTTTAACGCCTTCCTATTGATCAGCATGGGTTACTCTATTTCATCTATTTCCTTGCTTAATCCTTTTTCTGGTGGAAACTCTCTTCCATCATATTGGTTTGCTAAGGAGTAGGCTATTGTTGCAGTCACTTTTAATTTGGATAATAATTGATATACTTATGGTTACCCGTATGCTCATGAAAGTGCAGTTTTTGAGCAAGTTACCAAAAATGCTGTTCGTGGGTTATGGGCACGTCGGTCAAGGTTGAACTTAGTTGGTGCTCATATAAATGTTTTTACCGGTGAATGGACACAAAAGGTAATTTTCCTCAGTCTCTGCCAATATTATTTTCTCTCCAGTGTAGAACAAATGGGTGTGTGGAAAAGAAGAGGAATAACCTGTGCATCCCATGAGCTAGGCCTTCTCTTTCATTTGCTAGAGCAGAACTATTTTTTTGTCCACTTGGTCTATACTTGCAGCAAATTTTACTTGTATTAAAGTTCCCTTCTATCATACTTTGCAGGGTGCTATTGCATGGCTCATTAAGTTCAAGTTTCTTTCTTGGCTTTGCAGGATGCTGGAATTGGAACTAGCATTGATTCCTTCTATGAATATCTCTTGAAGGTATCTTATCACACTGCAACCCTCTCCTGGGTTATGAATTTCACTGGATTAATAGTTCAGGGTGCACAATCTTCCTTTTGAATTTCAGCCACCTACATTCCCTCGATGTCGAAAATGGACACATGGGTGCTCTTAAAATAAACTTTTTAAAGCTCCTTATTTAATTTTTCTTTTAGGCTTATCTACTATTTGGCGATGAGGAGTATTTGTTCATTTTCCAAGAAGCATATGCTGCTGCTATGCAATATCTGTATAATGATCCTTGGTAAATCTTTTCGTTGTTTGTTTTAACTTTCAATCTCTCCTCACCCTCCATCTTCCTTCTGCTGTTCTTTATTTTCCCTAGCTATAACCAGAGTTGAATGCTAATGTTTGAAAGATGTGTAGGTATGTGGAGGTAAATATGGATTCTGCTGCTATTGTCTGGCCTTTGTTTAACAGCTTGCAGGCATTCTGGCCAGGCCTTCAGGTATGAAACCATCTCTATTCTATGTTTTCAAACCCTAGTTAGCAATCAAACTGTTCTTTCATTCAAGTAAAACTGATTTACTACAAAGTTTAAACTTTGAAGGTGTTAGCAGGAGATATTGATCCAGCTGTCCGGACACATGCTGCATTTTTTAGTGTCTGGAAAAGATATGGTTTCACTCCTGAAGGTTTTAATCTAGCAACTCTGAATGTTCAGGTATTTAAATCTTCTTTACCCAAAACTCAAGCATCAGTTTCTTCACATTTCAACGCGTCATCTTAAATTTGGTAGGCTTTACTCTATGTCCTTCGTTCTAGCTTCTTGGGGCTGCTAGTTATTCCGAGAGAACCAATTAAATTCAAGCCTGTAACAGAAAATGTAGCTGTAACTTATGATTGATATTGTGGAGGTTAGGATGGTTGAATTTAACGTGATTAGGTATCTCCGTTTGTTTCATTAGCCTTCTTATACTTAATGTTTTCTTGTGTGGGATTGTTATTCATGATGTTGCACTATGTCAAACGTTGATCCCTTTAGTGAAAAAAAGGGTTGAGCATAATTTTAAATGTGGTGCCTCAGGTGCTTGTAAGGTGATCTAGTTGACTGGGTTGCACCTCCTGAAATAGTTGCTAATTAGGCTAAAGGGAATAGATTACTACAGTGATGCGATGGAAAGAAATAAATGAAATGTTAATAATATTTTGCTTGATTTATGAGTTTTTTTTTACATAATGTACTTTGCACCTCGAGCCTATAACAAGACTGATGTCTACATGTTCATATTCTCATTCTATAGAGCGGGCAGAAGAGCTATCCATTGCGGCCAGAGTTGATAGAAAGTACATACTGGCTCTTCAAAGCTACCAGAGATCCCAGGTCAGCTTAGATTTTGAATCCGTAATTTCTACTTTAGTACTTTTCATTTTATTGTGTAGTAAGAATTCCACAATTTAGAATCCTGCTTTGTGTGGACTGTGGGCGAAATAAGAAATAGAATATCTGCGATGCTGGGGTATCTTTACTACTTAAAGTTGGCTAAAAGTCTTTTACGAGTTATAATCTTCCTCTTTGAGGAAATCGTTAATTTGAAAGTCGAATGGTGGAACTCTTACACCTGTTTTTGGCATAATTGCTCCAAAAGATTAGGTTGTTTATAACCCATCGTTGAATGAAGCTACTGGACATATCGATAGGCTGCCGTATCTGATTGATCAGTCGCTCCCTGTTGAGATTCACATATTGGTTTTCACATCCTTCCACTTTTTCCTTCATTATTGAATCAATCAATGTTTACTCCCCTACAGATATCTTGATGTGGGAAGGGACATGATTGCTAGTCTGCAGTATGGGGCTAGGTGCCCTTGTGGATATTGTCATATTACAGATGTGGAGTCGCACCAAATAGAGGATCACATGGAGAGCTTCTTCTTAGCCGAAACAGTAAGGATACAGTATTTAACTGGTCTCTTTCAATGTAATTATTTTGGAGTCCATTTCATGCATATGGATTGCTCATGGATAGATGCCTCTACTTTCATGACCATGAGGTTTGAGGATGGTGAAGGAAACAAGAGCTCAAGTTGATATAGTAGCCCAAATGAACTTTTGTTAAAATTGGTGCATGAAATTTGGCAATGTATTCATGCTGCTTCACCTTACTGCCTGTACTAACATGTCATATAATGGCAGGTCAAGTATCTCTGGCTTCTTTTCGACTTGGCTTCTGGTCCAGACAACCTTGTTGAAAATGGGCCTTATAAGTAAGTGGCTTTCTGATACTTCCAACCACATCTGGAATAATGCTTTGTTCTATCAGAAACTGTTGCTAAAATGATTAACTATATAACAGGTACATCTTTAGCACGGAAGGCCACTTATTGCCCGCAACCCCACAAATATCCCTAGCGAGGGAGCATTGTTCTTATTTTGGTGCATACTGTAAAAAAAGCAGTGATACCAAACAAGAAAGTTGTAGTAAATCTGAAGCATCAATGAATTTCCAAGAAGCAGCTAATGCCAGTAGTACATCATCCTACGGTAGCTGGGTTCACAGAGGATATTCGTCATCAGATTCCTCTTTTCTTGAGTCGATTAATCCTTCAGGTTTGATAAAGGTGAGCTAGATTTCTCCCATATCCCATCCCTACGGCTTTTACCCTTTCCCCACAAGGTTTTTCTGTTTCATTCTCTTATTCATGTAATTTCCCTTGCTCGTTACTACCACAGGGAGTTTGCCCTGGATTAAGTCACGGGCAGAGGTATGGCATCTCATACGTGGCATCAACCGAAACGATTCACACTCAGAGCAGCAGTCCTGCACCGGAAGACAAAAGAGAGAATAATGCTGCTGAGAACCCTCCTCTTGTTCTGGTTTCTGATATCCGTGCTATTAATGCCATGACTTTTGGGGGTAATGATCATCATGATCAGAAATCAAGCCCGGAGGAGTTAGAATGAACAGTCTTTTTCACGAACGCCAAAGGTCCTGAAAGGGCGGTGTTCAAAGCATTGGCCCCTGCTTGCCAGTTTCGGTGGAGAGAAACTAGAGATCGTCATCATACCTTTACACACCCGCTTGCTTTTCGCCCGAGGAAAAGAAACGGGGTGCTATAAAGGGTGCCTATTGAGCAAATTTACAGGTGATTGAAGGATTCTTTGAGGTTAGGGAAGAAGTTCGACGCCCCCCCGAAACAGGAATACAACACTTTGCTCATTACTTTGTCATTGAGGTTGATGGACAGCAGAGGAGAATGAGGGGATCAACTTTCTTGCTGAGCATGAGTTGTGGATGAAGGCTGTACCATTTTTGTACATTAAATGGTGAAACAGTAGTCGAATTGTATTTAGCCGGTTAGTGGTGAACTGTTTATTATCTTAGCGTAGCCAACACACTCAGCAAATGAAAGAAAGAATGCTGTACAATTGGTAGGCGTGAGAAATGGGGAAAATGTAAACTGCATTGGAGACCCAAATAAGTGAACTTCTGTTCCTCCCTGAACGCGTATTTTTGTCCTCTTGGCCGGTCGGACCGGAAGACCCAAAATGATGGGCTTTTTATAGCATGCAGAAGCAGGGCTCTAATTTGGGCTGGGTTTAGGGAAATTGAAACAGAAACAAGAATGGTTGTGGGTCGAGGAGTGAAAGAGGGTAACATTGTAGAACAGGCCCAAATAGGCAAATATTATGGAACTGGGGAGAGAAATGGGTAGGGGACGCTTTGTTCCCAAATTAGAATGAAGAGGGAAAAGGAGGAAAGAGTATTTGAATTGAGTGGACAGACGGATCCCACCATTGTTTCGCGCCATTGTCGAACAGGGTTCCGCGACCCGTGTTTGTGAAATTGATTACCGCTCCGGAGACGCTCCTTCACCGTTGGCGATCATCTGAAATACGGAACATAGTCGCGTACTCATCAACCTCCGCGGATTGAGCGCGAACCCAGGTGATCACAACCTGTTCGATGAATTTCCCGACTGAAACTCCCGCAGCTGCGCTGCAGCCCTCATTTGCGAACCCGATTTTCTCACCTTTTACAAGCATGCCAGGAGCGTCAGTTCCCGCGGCTGAATTCTTATTATCGGGGATTAGCTGCTCTATTGGTGGACGGCTGGTGTGGTGTGTGGTGATCATGTCTCTGCTCATTACGGTTTCCGAACCTAGAACATCAATGGGAAGCTTGAATTTGGAAATGTAGACTAGTGGTGTTTTCAGTCTGAAGCGTTGCTGGTGGGGGAAGTTGATTTTCCAAGAATGATATGAAGATCAGGATTCAGAGTAAGCTTTTCGATCATGTTTTCAATTTGCAGCATGTGCAAGATTTTGCGATCGAAGCAAGTTAGATTCCTGCACCGATTTCAACTAAACTCTTTGATTCCTAGGCGCGAGACAAAACTTGTAAGTACTTCCAAACGACTTGCGTGGAGGAACAGCTTAGTTCTTTCTGCCGATTGAACATGCCGAATGACAACATAGGAGGTGAGCCGTACTGCAGACTTCAGTTTCCCCACTTTATAGAGACCATTTATTATGTGCACTGTTGTTGAATGGAGTTGAATATGATGTGTTGTTCTAGCGGGAAATGATATACCTACTTTCATTGAAAGGTATTCAATCGTATTTTGGTTATGCAGGATTCTGAATGCACAATATACGGAATGAATTAAAAAGTCAATTAGCTGACTAGGGATTGGCATGGCATCCTATGCAAGAACAAAACCACATGCCTGAGATGAGACTGAAAGCCCCTAATTCAAGCAACTGCAAAACCATTCTAAGATGAAGATGTATAAGACTGACTTCTCTGACTTTAATTGCTCACTATATCCTGCTAGTTGGTGGGTATAACTTAGCATATAGATGCATTTAATATTCTAGGATGATCTTTGGCCCCTGGTATGAGGAACCTTCTTATAACTGCCTGTGGGATTGCAGCCTTCCTTGATGTCTAAACAACCCAAGATAGACCAGCAACAGTGTATTTGACTGCTGAAGTTATGTCTTGGGCCGATTCTAAGCCTGAGTTGTGAGAGCCATTGAACCTGTTGTTATGGCTCTAATTGGGTAGCTAAACAACTGCAGTTTTTGTTTTTTTGGTCAAAGTCATGAGTTGGATGGCCCCAACTTAATGAACTGGCCATGACTGCTTATGAGCTGCATTACAGTTATCAAACTGCACCCTCCTGAATGATGATAATGTTTGAGAATCAGCAAAATGGTCTAACGTTTTGATTGATTCCTGACACCGACAGCCATATCAAAACGCAAAATCGACTAGAATTTGAACTGTGGAATCATGTCAGATCTTGTTTCCTGCTACTTTTCTATGATTTATTTAGTTTCCACTAGACAAAGTAACGTATGAAAAAATAATGATTTTCTATACTTGAAAGTTTCACAGTAGTTTGTCTCCAAACCTGCAGGAACATCACTGCCGATGGAACAGCTGCCCGAATCCAAAGCCCTTCCGTTTGGCGACCGCAATTCCAGAGGTACTGTGAACATTTTGAATCAACTTGTCTCATAGTAAGTCCTCGTCGACTTTGCTTCTTTATTTCAAGAGGGGGCATGGAAAAGTTAAATTGGCTAACAGAGGGAAGTTTCTGGCATTTGTTTGCCATTACCAAAACAATCTCAAGTCCTTTTTGCAATAAGATCTTACTATTAATTATGAGTTAAGGTGGGTGGAGTGGAGGGTTTACTTTTTTGGCATGTGGTTATCAACTGATCACACTTTAGCCGAAAGAATAACCAAGAAAATCACTGTTTGCCAAGCCCCAGAAATTTCCTCTTTGCTCGATGAGATTATACATCCCACCTAATTATAAAAAGTATACAGATATTTGGTAACAGTGAGAAGGCCGAACCAATAAGCTATTGCATAGTATAGAGCCACTAGTAAGAAATTAGGTTAACCTCTTTTTATCACAAAACCCCACCTCTTTCAGCTGCGGGGCACTATCTTAATTCTTAACAGTGACCTTAATACTTTGTTTGCCACTACCATGCCTTGGTAGAACCGCTGTGTAACCAGTAACAGATGTTTTCTAATTTCAAATGCTACACTCTTTCTCTTTTCATTGGATGCTTCCACACTTTTTATCTTTGGAAAAAAAAGGTGATAAATCTTCTCAGGTCAGATAAAGCTAGCATGTGTGCTGTTTTGTGATGAAACTTTGGTACTATTGGTTGACAATTAAATAGGCTATCTCTCAGAGGAATTTGTTTTGATGCTCATAGCTACATATTCATGACAAAAACCACACTTTCGCCCAATTGATAAATAACGTTTCGATTAGACCTTGTGTATGAGAATTCGACTATCCTGCTAAATGTGATTATGTGGACTCAGCTTTCTGTTTCTGAACGAAAATTAGTACATGTGTATCTTGTTTTAATAATCTTTATACCATAGAAGAGGTCCGAACCAAACCCTGGTACAAAGAACAGAGTTCTGAACTTTATCCTTTTGGGTTTGGTTGAAGTGGTCCGTGCAAGAAATCTACGGGTTTGTTGTTTCTTCTTTGCTATTGACTATGGAGTAACCAGAAAAAGTTCAGTCTCTCCTTTCTCTTTTCCCAGAACACTGTATTTTATAATTTTTCCTGGGCAATGTGCATTCTTTTGGCCTTCACCTTTCCCAACATGGAGTTACTTGCTTGTGGATTTATGCTACGCTAAAGAAAACCAACAAATAAGTGGCAAAAGATGTGAAATGTGAATACTATACTTGAATACTCAACTTTTTACCACCTGAGATTTGAAGAAAGTTAAAAAAGTAAAACAGTTACTGCTACTTTCCCATTTACCTTTCTGATGAAATAACCAGCAAGTACTTTCTTGCTCTCCTACTCACTCACTGACATTTCACATCACATCCCGTTCTGAAATTCAAGCCTCCCCTGACTGACAGAGCCCTGTGGGAAAACTCTGAAAACCATGTAGTAACTTGCTGGATGACTTAGAATTGTTTGAATATTTATGTCATGACAGCAGACCAGAAGTGATACTGTAATTCTTTCTGAAAATGGGATCTTGAATAATTCTATGATCTTAAACGCTGGAGGGAATAGAAAGAGAGAGATTAACATAGAAGACAATAGAGTACCTTCATTTCTGTGTAAGTTCATTACCTGCTTCTGAAATGGTTACCCAGTTGAACTGTCGATCAATGAACAAACAGATGTGTTATGTTAAGGTTTTGAATTTATTTCCCATAATTTGAAGTGTAGAATCATCATGCTTCTACAGTTGCGTGAAGTCTCCCATCTATCTCCTTTCTTGCTTCAAAGAAGGAACTTATGAACCATCTAAAACCAAGTAACTTGTGGTGCGACTTTCCTTTCTTTCTTTCCTCTTGATGTTAATTAGTTGTTGCTAGCTGTCTGGTATGTTTGTTGAATGATTGTAATTATGTAGTGGCAGTTAAACCCTGAAAAACTTCGGTTGGCGTTTATGTGCTAGCTGTCTGGTATAGTTTAGTTTCCTTATGTGCACCAATTCCTCAAAAGTCAGAAGCAAGAAACTCGCATGGATTTACAAGGTGGAAGTGGACAATATATAAAAAGTTAAAGATCTGCCTGGAAAATCATAACAAACAGTGGTGTATTGAATTTGTAAGGCCGTGTGTATCTCATAACCAAGAAACTTGTTGGCGTTCTTGTGTTTCTTTCTTTCCTATTCACATACTGATTTACACGATCTGCATCTAAAGTAACTGAAGCAAAAAACAGCTTCACATGTGAAATTTCAGAACTTTCATGAACACACATCACAAAATAGCACCCACGTACAGGGGTGCCCAAAACCACCACCATCTGTAAATCTTAGCTTGTTTTCCCCCTTTCTTACATACCCTTAAAGAAGAAACCGCAACTTCCAATTTCACACTGATGCCTCAAGTTTTTCTGATACTTTGTGCAACTGCAGAGATCTAGCAGCTCCCGGCGGGGATGGGGGTTAGAATTTTGACGACTTCCCTGTCATGGCTAAACCAGGCCAGGCTGAAAGAGCTCTCTATAAGACTTCCTTGGGTAAGAAATGCATATCTTGCCCTTTCTCTTCCTGTGGGTTTGCTATGCTGTGGTTACTGCTGGACTGGGAATTTTTCAAACACCACAACCCAACCCTCTTGCTTCCGATCCTTTCATGATTCGCAGCCTTTTACAGGATGACATGAACATGCTGCAATAGGAGAAATCAATTCTTCATTAGTACATATTCACAGAGAGAATAATATCAGAACCAGGAGAAAGGCGGTCCACAGTGAAGGCAAAAGAAAAGGGGAAAAAAAGGAACTTACTCCCATGGCACATCTCCAACAAGCATCCAGTCCCCATCTTTATCTTCATAAGTTGGTACGTACTCAGATCCTTTGTAGCCTTCTCTTTCAGAGTAGACACCGGCAGCAAACTTGAACATGGCTTCCAATGCTTTAAGGAGTTCAGGGTAGTCTCTGTACACCTTAAGATCAATCTTCCTTAGATACGGTGCACCATCCATGCTTACTTTCACGTACATCCCACTAGCTTCACCTTCACTGTTCTTTGCCTGCAAGCTGTTCTTTCTGTAAGATCTGATTGGCGGCCACCCAACAATCTGTGCCCTGCATAACATTGAATAACAGATCATTAGCAAACAGGGAGAAAAAAAGCCTGAAAAGAATCTGAAAGTCAAGCTAGAAATCTAGAAGTGCTCTGTATGAATGAATGACTTACTTGGCAGCAGGGGCAGTACTTCCTCTGTCTGCAGCCTTATGGGCTTGGCTCTCTTCTTCATTCATCTCAGGAGTAGGCATAGGTCGCTTGTTATTGTTTCTAACACCACCGTGCCCTTCGGTTTCTCCTGACCCTGGCAATCCAAGCGTAAGCTCGGTTGCCTTGAGGTTCAAGCCGTTCTGATATGCTACACCACCTTCCATTTCTTCTCAACTGACTTAGCAAGTCGCTGTGTAAGAATCAGAATTCTTCCGATAGAGTATAACTATGGTTTAGGTCCTTTTTTTTCTTTTGGGTTCTGTTTTGGTTTGCAGAGGAGGGATGGAGGAAAGATGTGTTTGTTTTCTTCTGGTGAGGCGTGAATGGGGAGGAGTGTATTTTATAGACTTGGTAGTATCTATGGTGAGTCGTGGAATAATAAGAAGGAGAAAGGTAGGAGCTGGAAGAGGAGAATTTGGCTTGTGAGTGCCTCCTAACTCAAACGAACGCATGAATTATGGACAAAGGCAAGCTAAAGCTGTCGGTAGCAATAGCGGCACATTTGAGGCACCTTGTCCATGCAGTCAGGGGACAAGACTGGGACAAGCACAGCCGCCCATATGGACAAAACTCACAAGAAATCTATTTATATATTCACCTTTTTCTTTAAGTGGTTCTGTTTCTTTATTTTTTTGTTTTCTAAAAAAAGTGGGAACGGTTCAGATGAGTTTTCAGAGGGAAATCAGGACCGTTGGCTGGGTTGGTCGAGAAGGGCAAAGGTTAGGAAAGGTTGAAGGATTGGAAGGGGAACATATCCATGTGGGTCATGGGTCCCACATGGCTGTTGGTTATGGGCATAGAATGGGCCATGTTTGGGGACTAACTAGAATTTGGAACATAGAGGGCAGTGAATGTATTACTAGTGTTTTGAAATATTTGGAGTACATTACATGTGGTAGACATGTGTGGTGTGGTCAGCCCATTGATTCATCCTCATCCCATGTCTATGCAGCTGCGAGTAAGATATAAACCACATCTCTTGCTTTGTGTTTGTCGATTATCCCCAAATAGGATTAGCCCATAATGTAAGGTACTCCTGAGTCCCGAAGCTGAATCCTGAGTTTATTATTTTATTTTTATATATAGGAATGCAAAACCATGCATGTATATATTCCCAGTCCTAATGCTCTAATTAATGACCAAAACATGGTAATTAATGAGCATCTGACCCTGAACATGAGACCCGGTCTGTTGTCCATGCTTCCAATTTCATCAGGATCACTAGTATATTAGCTTCGGGCAATTTATATCAGGATGATAACCCCAGACTCAGAATTAGAAGAGTAAAAGTCTGAAACTTTTGAGGTTGTCTCTGTTTATTATAACTTGTAGAGTTAATACCGTGAGAAAGTCTAAAATGTTCAAGTATTCCAGTGATACTAATTCTAACTGGGAAGTACTCTGTTTAGAAGTTAGCAGAGTTCCAAGTTGCTCGGTACATTGGCTTGAGTTACTTAATTAGCACTCTATTTTTATAAGGTTACTTAATTAGCTCTTTTTTTTTTTATAAGGACGATTGATACTACTCAAGAGTTTTATGCACCAACTGGTTGATGACGTGAATCGTACGCACTTAGTTAGCACTCTTGACTAAATAGTAAAATGTAACAAACCACAGTTCGTTAGCTGCCAAGTAATTTAGGAGATAATGAAAGTTTAAAACAACGTAGGTGCTTTCCTTCTTTTCATTATTGTTAATGGTAACTGGATTTTCTTTGTTGAGAAACCATTTGTGCCTTTACTGTAATAATCAAACTGTTTGGTGAATCGGTGAATAACTCGAGCAGGAGATTTTGGAAAGAAGCAAGTAGCAACATGATGAGAGATTATCTGTCCTTTACTTCTTTCCCATATTGGCCTTTAGGTGTAGTTATTATGAGGGTGAGTCCCACCTTTGTTCAGTGGTCTCGATTGGGCATAGGATGCTCATTTCCAAAAACTCCACATCCACATCCACCACTATCAATTATCAACTCCATCAATTCAGTGTCCCATACATAAAGACCATCCTCTGTTTCTCCACCCGTGCGTCATAAAAAAGTTGCTCAATTATTATCAAACTACTGCTCAGTACCCATCATCAACCCTTGTTTGTGTTTGTACATATCTTCAAGCTCAATATAGCACTATCATACATATCTTCAAGATCCATATAGTACTTTGGTAAAAACTAAAAAAAACCTTCCCTGCTGCAGAACAATTTTGCTTTTCTGCTTTTTTTCTTCATTCTAGCAATGAATTCCATTTATATCGCAGCACTGAATTCCATTTACTGTTTAGCTTTGTTTCATTTGAGTCGAATATTTTGCTTATGGTTATTGTGAGAACAACTTTGTAACAAGCGACGCATTGCATGCAACTTGGCGAATCATCTAAGTTGGTTATATTGCTTGATTACCGGAGCCTAATAAATCAACTGTTTTTGGAATTCGAAACTGTCTATACACTTAACCTTCCCCTGCATATGCCAGAAAATGCACTGACAAAACTTTCATAAAATAATGTGGCCGGCTTGTATCGAAGTCTGTTTTTGGAGCAGCATTTTTAGGAACTATAAACTATTATGCCAGATTACAGCCATCGAGATGGAGATACAATGCACTTTGATATACACTTCATAGTTCATGAAGCATGCACTTTGCCTTGTGTGGTTCAATGTCTTATGTGGGGAGAAAAGCTGAACTTGGACCAACTGTTAATTGATTTCTCCTCTTTGATGTAAACTCAATCATAATGCTCATTTCTATTCTAATTGTTGCACGTTCAGTTAAAAGCGCGCTGCTGTTACTGATCAGGTGCAAATTACTATTAACAAAACCCCAGAAAGTTTAACTTGGTACATGAATGTCGAATGACATATTAGGTACTAACTTGTCGAAGAGGTGTCTTCCCTTGATTGTGCTAGATTACCTTGATGTTTTGTCTTTATCAGCCCAGCTATGTCCCAGCAAGAAGATTCATGATCATGAAATCCTGGAGGGGTTCGTTAAATTTTGTGGTGCAAGACCATTGTATGCATGGATAACCTTGATTCCTAAAGGAAATGGATCAGATTTGGACTACTGCTACAGGTGCGGCCATTTGCTTCATTGGTTTTGGCATCTGGTCATTGATGAGGACACACAGACTGCACGATAGCGATACATAACAAACTCAGAACATAATTTTGCGCCGTATGGTGTGTATCGTTTTGATCCACTTGAATCTTTTCCAGGTTGGATATGCGAAAGCTGATTGATAGGACTCATCAAGGAAGCAGAATTTTCGAGTTGGCATGTCCGTCAGGTTTGGCCATGGGAATGTTAATCTTTAAGGGGTTTGACTGGGTTATACTGCATACAGGGCAGTTCTGTAATTTCTGGTAATATGTTCGGTTTCCAGGACTAAGAAGAATACATGTGGCTGTGAGAGTCTAAGAGATCGTGGAATTCATGTCAGTGCTGGGAAAGGAAGGGGTGAAATTCTGTAAGTTATTTTTAATCTTACCTGCTGTTTTCATGCTTGTTCGCTTATTACCATTATTTCTTTTTTTTAATGTGTCTGTCGTGTATTGTAGAGTTGACCTTCACTATTACTAGTCCACACTTAGCACAAATAAAAGTCAAATTTGGTTAGCTTTCACAACATTTTCAGGTAATCAGCTTTCACATGATCTAAAATGAGTTTTCGCTTTTATAAGTGATGTTCTGACTATTCGAATTATTGAAAAGAATCGATTATCGGAGTTTTTATAGTATAAAAAAGTCTAGTCCTTAGATCTTGATAACTAGCCGTAAGTTAACCACAAACTATGTCAAGTAAAAACATAAAAGAAAATATAAAATTCATTATTGTGTCTCTATACTGAATTTTCGAGATTTGGTTGTTGATACAAAGGAGACCTACATATATACTATAGTTGGAAGCACAAACAAAACATCTGCACACATTCCTTTTCTCTTGTTCATTTCTTTTATCAAAAGCATATAGCAGCAGCATAATCATTCATGTCCATATATTTTAGATAGATTATAGATAGTTTAGACAGAGAGCAACCAGGTAGATGCTAAGAACATCACTTTACATGCCCAATACAGCCTAGATGTTCTTCGATTGAGATACAACATCTGCCCTTTCCAGATGAGCTCTGGCTGGCTGGCTGCCCTGCTCACTTCTAATAGGAGCATAGATCCAAAATTTGATTTCAGGTCTGGACAAATGTTGATTAGGTAGAGTTAAGCATAACAGTAAACCATCCCAGATTGATTTAAGACATCTAAGTAAACCATTACAGAAGAGGGCAGAGAACAATTATGATTTATGTTGTTGTTATTACTATTATTCTAGTCTGGGTCCAAAAGGAACCAAGCCACCACAGAGAATTGAAACAGTCCAAAACAATGAGCTAGCGCCATATGATGTTCTAGCTAGATATGCCAACATTTTTTTTTTTTTATCTCTGAACCAGAAGCAGCTTAGCCATTCCCAATAATTATAGGGCTAGAGTAGCTTTCTTTGCATTAAAATCCGTGGGGGTTGTGTCATTAAAATTTAGCTTTGAGCAATCCATTCCCAAAAAGCAGGACCACCCTTTTCTTGCTGTTGCCAGAAAAGCCTTCAATTTGGCGCATATCGTATCTGTTATGTTCTGTATTGTTGTGCTTCAATTCTGATCCAACCTGTCCTCTTCAACTTTGTAAATTTGCCCTTCTCTCTCTTGATAAGAAATCAACTCCCTACTCATTAATTGCGTTTTTCTCATAAAGACTTGTGTGACCTTTCAAAGTTTGGATTAACAACCAGCTGGAATGTTTGAGCAGGTTGGGTGATGAGCAAGCAAGCAAGCAACAGGCTGGGTTGCTGATGCTTCTTATTAGCTTGTTGAACAAGTAAAAAAGCAGGTGTTCGATTGAGAATTTCGCTGGCATGACATGGTGGTGCAAGCTAGTTCCTGCGTGGGTGGTGTTTAGGGATGGTCGGGAATTGCAAGTTAGGTTCCAAGAAGAACCCAACTGTACGTGTTTGTTATAGAGAAAGAAAGCGCGTTCCTTTTCACTTTCCCTGTACTTTATTTTTCATAAACCATTTATATATATTTTTTCCTGTTTGAACAGACAAGAAGATATTAGAGACAGAAGCCATTAACACGGCTGATGGGAAGCATCATGGGCACATGCACGTGTGGGCACCAAAAAGAAAGAAGAAGGCAAGAAACATCTCATCATCTAACAAACCAACAGGAACCAGCAAGCAGGCATTGATGGAGAAAAGTAGCAGTACTACTGCTGTAGTGGTAGCGATAGGATGGAGATGGAAAGAAGCTGCCTACTGGTCTGGTCTGGTCTGGTTGGCAGCTGATCGATCAGCTTTGGCAATTATTGTTTTGACATTTTCTTTTGTTTTTGCAGGGGATTAATTAACATATACGCATAGTGGGAAGAGATGGGAAATGGTTGAACGCGGGGAAGCCACGTCTTTGCAGGTAAAGCCATTCATGGGGGATTGAATGAATTTTTGTGGGCAATATATGGCTGTGCATGGCTTCATGTAGTTTCAGTCATGGAGGTAGAGGGGACGTTTTGTGGGTTCGTCGTTTGTCTCTCCTATCCTCTCTGCAGAGAAGGAGAGGAATTGAAGGTGCTTGTTAGGATAGGATAGTGATGCCCCATGAATGGTTGTGCTATAATGTGTTCTGTAGCAAAGGGAAGGAAGATGACCCACTGCCTTTCGTCAAGTACTCCTGATCTCTCCCTGCTCTTATGGCGAGGCAGAAATCAGGGCTTATGGGCCCAAATGGGTTGTATTAGTCGTATGCGTGGGCGTTCCGCAGCCCCACTCGTATTAGTAGTATACAGACCGTATAGTAGTTGGCCCATATGCATAGGGGTGATAAACGGTTATGCCGCTAACGGTGTTAACCACTAACCGTATCGATAACCGACAGTTAACGGTTAAGGAGAATGCGGGTCATTTAATGGAAGCTCGAAATCTCTTATCGGGTTATCTAGTCATAAGAGGTTAAATAACCGACGGTTAGTGGTTAACCGATTAATAATCGATCAAAGTTGTTTTATTTTTAATCAACCGTTTGTGGTGCAGCAATTAAAAAGATCATAATCCATCTTGATTAACAAAGCATATTAATATCTTAGTTGAAGATAGTGCATATCATGATTATGTAAACCTATCCGTAGAAATATAATCTACATTCAGAGCATATTAATAAGCACAGTAAAACAATAATAGAGGGTAATTCCCAAAAAATGGGATCAACTATAACCAAAAGCAATGCCCAGTAATTAAAAGAAGTGCTCAGTACCATGGAAACGTAATATTGCATATCATCCCTTTTGTACCATAAGTAAAAAGAGTATGCTTTTCCTCTCGTGTGTCAATAAATAACATTACTTGTATACTATAATTCTATGAAGCAAGTTCAACTAGTGGTGAGAGGGAGGGAGAGAGAACATCCAAACGGTTGATTAAAGAAAGAATAACATTGTGGGAGAGGGAAATGATTCGTTTGGGAAACAAAGTTGGGGATGAGTGCTAGAGGAGAGGATTCGTTTGAGAACATCCAAAAGGAATTTTAAAATTTCTTACCGAGTTACCAAGTCATAAACGGTTAATAAACAATGTTTAGTGGTGGGACTAATTCACAAACCTACCACCACTCTCTCTTTTAAGCGAATAGGCGATTAACCGCTAACCGCATCGACGGTTAACCGCTAAGTTTTGGTGGGTCGGCTAACAGTAATGATTTTTCGATTGGCGGGTAATCGCTAACCGCATTATCGGTTAACGGTTAACCGCTAACCGACATGACTATCACCCCTGCATTTGCATAATATACAGACCTATCAGTAGTTGGGCTAGTGATTTTTAAAATTTAATCACAACATGGTAGGGTGGGAATTCGATTGCGGTTTTGCGATTAAACCGCTAACCGCACAGAAAATGCACGGTTACTGGTTAGCCGCAACCGAAAGTAGCTTATTTTTAGGTTGTGATTAGCAATATTGCATGTTTTGCGGTTTAACTGCAACTACAACTAAATAATAGGTAACCACAATTTAATCGTATATTAACGCATTTAACCATGGTTAATCGTGATCTGTTGGCCCTTATCCAGCCTTCTGCACCGGTGGTACAACTCACAACTCAAAATTTACGCAACTCATCAGAATTATTATTGATGAGGTTATCCGCGGTTAATCGTTAATAATGTAACCAAATAACATGTAACCACAATTTAATTGATTATTAATGCAATTAACTGTGGTTAATCGTGATTCGGTGGCCTTTATTCGTCCTCCCGTATCGGTGTTACACCACACAACCCTAAATTTTCGCAACTCATAGAATAATTATTGATGACGTTAGCCGCAGTTAATCGTTAATGATGTAATTTTGGCTAACAGCGAATCATAGAAGACCCGCCCAAAATTAGATAAATTTCCCCGACTAGGGAATGATGAGATCGACCGGGGAATATGGACAGCATACACCCAATCAGGTGGGTGAAATCCCCGACGGGGTATTGTGACTGGGTAGTTAGACCGGGGATTTTGCCCTCACGAGTTTTGATACCTTTTTTCGTTTAGGATTCTTTTCCTTTTTGGTGTATACATTAGTTTTATTTTCCAGGCTTATTTAAAGGGTTGTAAAAAACGAATTTGAGGAGATTATTGAGACTTTGATTATTTGAAAAAACCGTTTGTTCATAGAGTTTCACTCTTAAATTTTATCCTTGTTTGTTGGTTGGTCTCTAGCATTCGAGCGAGCTATGTATCAATCAAGTACCCACCTTGATTGTGATTGAGTTGCTACCTGTTGGGGGAACGAGCATGGGCCAGCCCAGAAGGGAAAAGCCCAAGATGGGTTATGATGGACCGGGGGCACGAGCCCAACCAAGGGGACAGAGAAAGCCCATGAGGGCAGGAACATTGGGCTGAAGGGCGTCCAGACTTGGGCCTGGGCGGCCGAAGACAGCATGAGGGACAGGTGGGACCAGGTCCCTGGCGAAGGGCGTGTGAGACAAAAGCGAACAACGGTCGAAAGTGTACGAAAAGCTGAGCAGATGATGTCACGCGCCCTCGATCTCTGACCTACGTGTCAGATGGTCGAGGCGCATAAGCTAGGGGTGTACGATGCATTTATGACGGGTCTGACACAGGGCGAGAGCGACGTGTACCGGTCGATCTTGCCCCAGGTATAAATAGTCGAGTAGGTAAACCTCATTTACTCAGTTTTACTTCTCTTACTAGAACTATTCCTTCACTTCTCTCTCTAAAGGGCAGGTTCTTACTTGAGCGTCGGAGTGCTAACGGGCCAACTCGGTCCGCTAGGCGCTTGTGTGGGTGCAGGTGGATCAAGGCGTAGGAGGGCTAAGGAGAAAAAAGGGCGAGGCGTACGAAGGAGGTTCCCAGGATCAAACAATTGGCGTGCTAGGTAGGGGAATATAACAACCAAAGCGTATGGAGATCGGAGGATTAGGAGAGGATGGAGGAGCTGAGCCTCATGATCAGGGAACGAAAATGACGAAAGAGGCGGGGGAGCACGATGGGAAAGGGAGCCCGAGGGTGGACGAGAGCGCACAAGCAGAGGGCGCCTCGCTCACCAAAGAGGAGTTGCTTCAGATCATCGAGAGCCAGGATCACGCGCTCGAGATTTTGAAAAAGGAGATTGAGGCGCTCAAGAGGAACGGAGGCGACCCGAACACGCCTGGCACGAAGAGGAAAGAGCGAGACGAAGAAGGGGATGGAGCGTCCAGCCTCATGAGGCGCACCGAAGAAACGGGGCACCTGACCCGACACTTGGACTCGGATTATGACGACTACAACGGATGGGCACAGAGGCGTGCAGGAAGAGGTTGGGGAGTTCGACAGCCCTTGGCCAGGAGCGTTCTCGCCGAGGCGCCGAGCTCGGTCATACCAGCGTTACCAAGTTATGATGGGACGACCGATCCAGAAGACCACTTGAACAATTATTTCACGAAAATGCAGCTGTACAGCAGCTCGGACGCCACGATGTGTCGTGCGTTCCCCTCCACGTTCACGGGGGTAGTGTTGGACTAGTACCACCAACTAGAGGAGGGACGGATCGATTGTTTCGAGCACTTCGCTTCCTTGTTCCTGTCGAAGTTCGCTAGTCGGAAGCGCAGGACCCTTACAATAAGCGGCTTGTTCAAGGTCCGTCAAAGGGAAAACGAGTCGCTTCGTGATTTCTATGAAAGATGGATGTCGGTGGCCATGGCAGTGAAGGATGTCAAGCCTCCCGTCTTGGGGTGTTGCCTGGATGAGTGCACGACTAGTGAAGAGCTGTGCCGTGCGCTTTCCAAGAGAGACGTGACGTCCACTGAGGATCTCGATAGGAGGGTGCAGAAGGTCATTATGCTAGAGGAGACGCTTGCGGCTCGAAGGTTCGATAGGCGCAAAAACAAGGCGGAGGAAGGAGAGGGTTACCGATTGCTGGCGCCCCGCCTGCCAATGGCGGCGCCCAGTATGCCGTTCCTAGGGCGCAGGGTGGAGACTCAGAGGCCTGTGCCGAAGAATGCGGGAAATTTCACCGAGCTGAACGACACATTGAAAAACGTGTTGCAATATGCGAAGGATAAGGGTTATCACTTGAGGTGGCCTAGCCCCATGAGGGGGCGCCCGCATGAGCAAAATTTAGACAGGTACTGTGAGTTCCATAGGGAGCGGGGACACCACACCGCGGATTGCTATCAGCCGAAGTCCGAGATACAGGGACTGGTGGACAGGGGCATGCTGAACGACTTTGTGAAAAAGGACGACCGAGCGCAAAGGACGTTTGTTGCACGGGAGGCACAAGTAAAGGCGCCTGGCGAGAAGCAGGAGGCGGGGGACGACCTTCCCAAGGAGGGAGCTATCCTACCCCCGCCCCCATTCAACGTGGAGCAAGAAGAAAACCCAAGCCGCGTAAGGTTGACCATTGAGGCCATCACTGGCTCCATAGACTTGAGGCAGAAGTTGGAGGAAGGAAGGCGCCTGAAGTCTGCTACAGCGAGCGCGCGTGAGGCCATTCAAATACGCTTCAATGAGGTGCCCGAAGAAGCATGCCGAACGCCTTCCACGGAGGCGCTGGAAATCCGGGGAGTAGTGGCCGGCTGCGAGGTCAAAAGGATGTTGGTCGACACTGGAAGTTCTATGGATGTGTTGTTTCTTTCCACGTTTGAGAAAATGTAATTGGCACCTAGCATGGTGACACCAGCGGACACCGTGCTAATTGGGTTCTCCGGGGCGCCCGCCCTGGTTATCGGGCGCGTGCGGCTTCCCGTAACCTTGGGTGATGAGACGCTTTGTGTGACGCACACAGTGGACTTTGGCATAGTTGACTGCCCATCGCCATTCAATGCAATCTTGGGACGTCCCTTGCTGGCACTCTTTAACGGCGTGGTCTCCTCTTGCCACCAAGTCCTAAAATTTGTCACCCTGGAGGGCATCGGGATATCGAGGGGTGAGGCCTCTGCGGAAGCACGCCTCGCCAAGAGAAGCCGGATGTATAACATTGACACGAGGCCCGAGGACTTGCCAAGAGCCGAAGCAGCAGATGAAGAGATACATGTGCCGCTGGATGACCTACGTCCCGACAGATGCGTTCGTGTTTCGACACACACGACGGGAGAAGAATTGGGTCCGCTAGTTGGTCTTTTGAGGGAGTTCGCAGACTTGTTCGCATGGAGCGCGAAGGAGATGCCTAGTGTGAAGGCAGAAGTTGCGGAGCATCGACTTGCCATAGCAAAAGGCGTGCGCCCCATTCAACAGAAAAGGCGCCCGATCTCGATGGAGAAGGAAGAGGCGCTGAGAAAGGAAGTAGGGAAGTTGCGAGAAGCGGGGTTTGTGGAAGAAGCCAAATACATCACTTGGCTGTCCAATGTAGTGCTAG